TTACCCCCTGACATTTAAAAGACTCGCGTGCAGCACCTCTTTGAGATATTGAGGCAGCATTGAACAGTGAGTCGTCTACTGCTCCTCACACCACCTGCCCCCCTCCTGTGACCTAAGGTGACCCACAGTGACCTAAGGTGACCTACAATGACCTTCAGTAACCTAAGGTGACCTACAATGACTTAAAGTGACCTTCAGTAACCTAAGGTGACCTACAATGACTTAAAGTGACCTTCAGTAACCTAAGATGACCTACAATAACTTAAAGTGACCTTCAGAACAGATGACCTACAATGACTTCAGTGACCTAAGGTGACCTACAGTAACCTAAGGTAAACCAAAAGTGATCTACGGTGTCCAAATGTGACCTAGGGCAATCCACAGCGACCCAACTTAAGCCCCAATGACCGAGAGTGACACAGCTTGACACATCAGCGTGACGTAAGGGAGTAAGACAACAGCGTGACATAAGGGAATAACAAAACAGCTTAAAATCAGTGTAAGAACAGGCCCCTCCCCCCTCACCCATAAGTTAGTAGTAATTATTGTTAAGTGTTTACGTCTTTCAGTCAAACTACCTTAATATATTGAGCTGTAGCGCGCCAAATATGTTCCTCAATCCACACCAGGCCCTCCACCACCAGCCCACACCAGGCCCCCACCACCAGCCCCAGGCCCCCCCACCAAGCCCACCAGGCCCCTGCACCACCAGCCACCAGGCCCTCCACCACCAGTCCACACCAGGCCCTCCACCACCAGTCCACACCAGGCCCTCCACCACCAGCCCACACCAGGCCCTCCATCACCAGCCCACACCAGGCCCTCCACCACCAGCCCACACCAGGCCCTCCACCACCAGTCCCACACCAGGCCCTCCACCACCAGCCCACAGACCCTCCACCACCAGCCCCAGCCCTCCACCACCAGCCACACCCCCCACCAGACACCAGGCCTCCACCACCAGCTCCACCAGACCCTCCACCAGCCCACACCAGACCCCTCCACCACCAGCCCACCAAGCCCTCCACCACCAGCCCACCACGCCCCCCCACCAGCCACCAGGCCCTCCACCACCAGTCCCCAGGCCTCCACCACCAGCCCACCAAGCCCTCCACCACCAGCCCACACCACGCCCCCCCCACCAGCCACCAGGCCCTCCACCACCAGTCCACACCAGGCCTCCACCACCAGCCCACCCAGATCCTCCACCACCAGCCCACACCAGGCCCTCCATCACCAGCCCACCAGGCCCTCCACCAGCCCACCAGCCCTCCACCCCGGCCACACCAGACCCTCCACAACCAGCCCACACCAGGCCCTCCACCACAGCCCACACCAGGCCCTCCACCACCAGCCACACCACGCCCCCCCACCAGTTTAAGAATGAATGTGGAAAAAATTCAAGGATATAGAGGTGTGGGAGAGAGTGTGAAGGTGAGAGTGGTGGTGAAGGAGAAGGTGGTGAAGGAGAGGTGGTGAAGGAGAAGGTGGTGAAGGAGAGGTGGTGAGGAGTGGTGGTGAAGGAGGTGGTGAAGGAGTGTGGTGGTGAAGGAGTGGTGGTGAAGAAGAAGGTGAAGGAAATGGTCAATGAAAGCAAACTAACCAAACCAAACTAAACCAAACCAAACCTAACAAAACTAAACCAGGATACAACCTAACTTGGACTTATTTGGTGGACAAACACGAGGTTTTAGTATGATTAAGAGGTGAGGTAATGTAATTGGCGAGTGAGAAGACTTACTGTAAGTGAGTGTTTTGTTCCTATTTGTCTTATTAAGGTGTGTGTGTGTGTGTGTGTGTGTGTGTGTGTGTGTGTGTGTGTGTGTGTGTGTGTGTGTGTGTGTGTGTGTGTGTGTGTGTGTGTGTGTGTGTGCGCGTGTGTGTGTGTCTTGACAAATGTTGACGATAACCTCTGGCGTTCAGAAAAGTTAAGACGCTTCCGACAACAACGTTATTCTTGAAACAACACAACACTAAACCACACTGCCACACATAACATCAACCACACTACCACCCACACCACCACACACATACCATAACATCAACTACACATAACGTCATGCACACATAACATCCACCCACACTACCCATAACATCAACTACATACCTACCGCACCACCACCTACTACACACCACGCATAACATCAACCACTACCACACCACCACCCATCCATCACCCACCACCTGCTACATCCAACCACCACCACCACAATACTCACAACCACACCACCCACTATACCCACACCACCACCCACTACTTATGCCACCACCCACCAACCTCCCAGCACCACCTAGCCATCATAACAGAATAAATATGGTGGCGTTTGATATGTACTAGGGTGATGGAGGAACGCTTACTGTGACATTAAACTAACTATTGACACACCTGGGACACGCTTCCTACCTGCCCCTAGTGTATCCTAAGCCTCCCCTCCTGCCCCTTCTCCCTCCTGTTCAAACTACCACCCCCTCACCATCCACGTTAACATCTACCACTACTCCATCACCACCCACCACCAACTCCTTCAACCATCCGTCAGCTGCAGGTATAACACTCGACTGAATAATGTCCTTTCAGGTGTTTATAAACCTCTATTAAGTCACCTCTTGCCCGCCTGTAGTATAAGCTGGGCAACTGCAGGTGTTCTAATCTCTCTGGGTAACTGAGGTGCAGTAGTACAGGCACCAGTCTGGTGGCCCCCTCTGGAAATTTTCAATGAGCTGACAGTCTCTAGTATATCCCGGGGACCAGACGTGGTGACAGTACTCCAGACGGGGAAGCATCTCACTTTTGAGGAGCGTTGCGAATAAAGAATTAGGCGTCGTACATGTGTTGTTATTACCACTGCTTTAGATTTTTAATCCTTATCTGATGGTGCAAACTGTACATGGTATCACTTATTTATTAAACTGTGCCAAGCTACAATAACAAGGACTAGACTTTCAGGGTGCACAAATTAAATTAATTATAACGCTTGCTTGTATTAAAGGTTACTACGCATTTGAGTAGTAATAATTAGATACAAAAATATACTGTACAGATGTGCGTGTGACTATGATGAAACAATTTCACGGTGTTCCGTGGTGTAGGCGACGTAAACAAGTACTACACTGTCATATGACCGTGGAGTTAAAACACTACCCTGTTTCATTGTACAGTTTCAAATTTTCCATGATTTTTCAAGTGATAATTAATAAATAATTTGGGTAAATTTTTACAAATGGACTCTTGGCGATTTTAAATTTTATAATACGCGTAACAGATATATCTTATTCTGAGTTTAACTTTCATTCTATATATTTCCATCGCAAATCAATAATAATTAACCTAACTTCCTAGTGGGGGTATTCGCCTGCCATATTAAACAGGAAGCGTTCTGGCGTAATTTGACGTTTTAGTGGACGTGTAGGGACCGAGCAGGTCAGTACCAAACAGACGACACAGGGTGAATCGGCAGATTCTTCTGAATATTTACAGTAAATAACCAAAAAAATTAAGCATCTCGCTTACATGTAATTTACGATAAAAATTCCATAAGGAAAAGTGACAGATGGGTGAGATGTACCTATAGAATCTATATATTTGCAAACATCTTTTGAGAGTCCACTTGTACTATACTGTACCCTCCTAACCAAGACTCCACTCTACCTTGCTTGCTCCTAACCTTAGTTGACAAACACAAGTGGCCGAAGCGTTATTAAGAAGACCGCAACAACCTAACCAAAGCCACCTTACCTAACCCCTAGACCCCCCCGGCATATTAAACAGAAACAACTTACTATGATATGATGTCATTTTACGTTTTTTGTGGACGTGAGAAAAGTCCCTTGCACTGGTCGACTGGTAATTTTAGTGGTAAACAATGAACAAAGGGCAACGTCGAGCAACTAGTGCAAGCAAATGGACATCATTATCTACCAATCGAAGCATTTGAGCATTTGCCAATAAATGAACATCATATCCGAACTCAGCGATGAAAATATAGTAAGAAATGATCCAACAAAATAAAATGTGCTGTGGTGAGTATTTTAGATGATCTCCTCAATGGTGGGATGGCGACCGCGACATTTGAATGCATAATGGCTCCACATGGGTATTTTTCTTGCTATCTGCAAAAGGAACAGACGCTAGACAGTAATTTGAAATTGTAAGCATTATGCTGAGGTCGCCTGGCGAAGAGGGTGGAGTCAGCTCAGTGACTTCAGCTTCATCTTTCTCCAAACAACTCTAACAGTTACCTACCTTTCGTTCTTCATCTCTTTATTGTGAGCCGCCAAACCTGAAGAGGGGCAGCTCCTAGCGGGTTTTTTGGAGGGTGTCGTCAGGACCCCCATCCCCTTCTCTTGCTGCCTGGCAGGGTGATGCTGCTGACAATCCTAGGACAATCCCGTTGATGGGCGAGCTGTATTAAGAGACGGCACCTTTTTCAACTCCACACATTATATATATATATATATATATATATATATATATATATATATATATATATATATATATATATATATATATATATATATATATATATATATATTATTTATAATAACTGACAAAAATAGTTACTCGTGAAACAATAATCGTTTTCTATGATTGCCATTGGACTTTTTCTTTTTTACACAATTCGTTCTCTCTATGATCTATCAGAATACTACACTCACACAGTAACAGGTGGCACTATAGTAGAATTTTGGGACATTTCTGAAAATAATAGTTGTGTGTGTCAATTGTGCTTCCTTATTAGATGTTCCTTGGTCATACCTGTACAATCTCCTTATAACCTCACACAAGGACCACCTGTAGTACCACATTCTCAAAGTAAAAACCTTCTGACTGAGAAATTTCCTCACAAAAACTGTTCTGCAGATAAAAATAAAATGATACAGATGCAAAATTTGGTGATTCTTACAAACCAGTCAACTGTTCTTGTGTGAATGTTGCACACACACACACACACACACACACACACACACGAGACTTAACTTGTTGGAAAATGAAAATAAAATTTGAAAGCATTTTTATTCTACATGTCAGATAAATAATTTCAAAACATGTCTTTCACAAGACAAGTACTAAATGAAGCTAATTAAATTTGCTTTTTCATTTTAAGAATAAGAAATAAATGTATAGAAAGTACTTAACAATACATAAATATATACATCACATTGTGGTTATGTATTGAAACTGTAAACAGTTTTATGTTTCAATTCTCAACACTTCTTATACTCAAATATATATACTGTCCAGTATATATATAGTATATAAATTTATATATATATACCTGTATGTTTACATATACATAACCTTTCAAGCTGCATTATAAGAACACTGGCAAGGTATATGTTGATTCAGAAAATGTTGATTACTGACCAAAAAAAAAAAGCAGAAACAAAAATAAACTTATGGAATGAGTCAGGTTAAGGAGAGTAAACAATAACTTTACACAGTTTCTCCAACCCGACAAACCTCTACCAAAACACAAGGTGATACAGTATAAGCCGCCAGAACTACTGCAAAGCTCATCTACTCGTGGCAAAGACACCAATTGTCACCAAACAAATACTGTAATGTATACAGTACATCCCTGATTATATCATTCCAAGTGGGAGGCCGACACACATTGGAGTGACAATGTACTCATCAGTCCTCTATTCTTTGAGCACTTTAAATCATGTCCTGGAAAACTTAAAAAAAAAAAAAGTCCAAATATTTTAATCACAAAAATGTTACGTTCTCATTAAATTTCCACATAAGGTTAGACTTTTATTTCCTTTGTAATGATAACCGTCATAGTCTTTAAGTTAACAGTAAAATGATGCTCATATGCTCCAGGACTCACAAAGTGGACTGTCATAAATGCTCTTGAAACTGGACTTTACAAGGACCCACAAAAAAAAATGGACTTCACGCTTATTCACAAGGTTGGACTTTGCACTGTCTCACGAGGATGGACTTTGCACTACTGTGGAAGAGGTTTAGTGAACTGAACACGCCTTGAGAAACGACCACATTTATACGTAACAGAAACTGAGAAATGGTTGCCTTTGGTCCTGACAGATCTCTGAGTGCGTGAAAAATGGTTCAGAGTTCATGAGTTTATGTTACTGTACTACAAAATATATATGTCAAACAACAACCGGTAATAACACAAATAACTACATCATAATTGGGGAAATATTTATCACATTTCCACGGTCAGTTGTGAGTGGAAGTTTCACTCCATTTAGTAAGGAATATAACAAAGTGGATACATAGACAGATAAACCAAGAGATAGAGAGATAGGTAGCTGAATGGACAGGCAGATATACAGATGGAAATTTTAGTATAACACTTTAGAAATACAGTATAATATACAGTATTCAACAATACAGTATCTTAAGAATTACAGAAACTTGAGATAGGAGAGCATTTTATAGATTCTATAACTGGCCAAGTGTGGGTAAAATTTGAATCAATCCAACTCTCAAAAAAAAATTATATATATATATATATATATATATATATATATATATATATATATATATATATATATATATATATATATATATATATATATATATATATATATATATATATATATATATATATAAATATATATATCAGACTTAGAAACAATGTCATGGAATTTATTTTCTGAAGTGTTGTGTCGTGCAGTGCTGAAGGAGAGACAACACATCAATATACAGAGCTTGACTTGTCCCCCTCCTAGTCTGGAAGGCTGGGACTCATAACCCAACCTTCCTGTATCCACCATCTCTACCAAAAAAGATGAGAGTACTACAGTATTTACTCTTGTTTCCATTAAGCAGGAATATTTACATTTGCTAGTCTTTTAACTCATTAATATCGCATAAACTAACTTGGAACACAGGCACATGCTTACAGATCTTAGTTGTTGAAGCAGACATATACAACAAAACTGATTCTAGCCACCCTGCATTATAATGGTCTGAACAAATTAAATTAATATGTCTAACAACAAGATCAATAATTACTCTATATTGTAAGTGGTGAACAGAGGAGAGGAACACAGTTCTAGTGGGATGCACCTTATGTATTTTGCTTTTCATTTACCATCACATAATTATTTAATGCCGGACGACTCTACTTCATAAATACAGTGAGTTGTGATGAGTGTAGTGAATGTCTGAGGGAGACCTGAGCCACTGAGTACACTACATACTGTGTACATCAAGTGTATGAGCAAGTGTTTGAGTGGAGTGTTTTCCACTTGCTGTCTTTGTCTTTATTACTTTGTACACTTATTTAGCATTTATTCTCCTATTTTTTAGGCTTTTCTGCCCCTTGATTCACTTAACACAAAACTGAGAAATAAGCCGAGGCAACACACAAAAAACACATACGCCGTAATGCCGGTTTCTACTTATTTTTAATGCTCATTTTAAAAACAATACAAACACTAAATTAAACTAAACATTAAGGTATTATGTCTTTGATAGCAGGTGTGAAGACAAGTGTCGGTACATGACTAGGCTCCTAAGTACAGCATAATCACAAAGGTGGATTAAGAAATTACAGTGTGAAGAAGAGAACTCCTCGTTGAAGAAATCTGATCAAAGAAACTTGTGTGGTCTCTCTCCTTGCACTTTTCCTTGTTAAAAAAATATATGTTTTGTATTATATTTCCTGTAATTTGGCATATTTTTACATTTATGTTTATAATTGCTTTTAAACTTACTAAATCTAAACATACAACTTATACAGGTTCCTTAGTTAGTTTTGAGGATGTGTGTGTGTGTGTGTGAGTATACAACATTATACAGTACAGTATGTCATACGGTGAGGTAAGGTCAAGGCATACAAACACCCGGGGCTATTAAGAGTGGGGCCTCCTTAACCCATTATCAATATTCAAGTAAAAATATATGGGTTATACATCAGAAAAAAAAAACAAGAATTACCAAACAAAAGACAACCTCACAGAAAAATAATAAGAATACTGCTTCATAAATGCCTCTCTAAAGGATTATCACACATATGCTTGTATAAAAAAGTAGAGCAAAGATGAGTCAGTTTGGTCATGCAGGAAAATTCTGACCACGCTTGACAAAATTACTCATGAATAACAATTTGGATCAAGCACATCATCTCGATAAAACTGAGACAATACAAAAGTTACTCATTTAAATATTGTGTTTGTTCGAAAAATTCCAGACACAGAAACCCGTGGCTCGTGGGCAGTCTGGCATGGGAGATAGTAACAGCTACTGCTCAAAGTTATGTCAAATCTACCTAGTCCTGATAAATCCATTACGCACACAATTTCCTGGATTATTTATAATACAAACATCAAAACATAAACACCAAAAATAGGTTAATGAGAAACAAAATGTACTGAAAGGCTAAATAATAGAGGAAGTGAAGAGATGAAGCACAGTAAACCCCTTGTATATACTGCACTTTCTTTTACACCTTCACGTTAAATCTTTTACACGGTGAGAGCACAAAGAAAGGTACTATATAGAAGAGTATGGGGTTGTACTCACCATTAAAGGCTGTGGTTGTCTGTTTAAATGAAAAATACACAAAATGATGGAAATAAAGAAGGAAACATGATAGAGACAAAGAGAAAAACATGATGGGTCTCAAGTCCAATAACAGAAGACACTTGGACACAAGACGTCTCGTTCAATGGACACTTCACTAATTAATTTTACAAGTTTAGCAACGTACAGCATAATAGCTCAGGCAACACATAATCTATTCTTTAACAGCATTGAAAATAACGGCTCATATAAATACGTCACAGCATAAGACTTCAGAAGATGTTTAATATCAAGGCATCAAGTATACAGTACAGTTTATAAAAATCAAGTAAAATGAATGGTTCAGAAACTGTATAAATATTTACTTGCCATACAGTTAAATGTGTGATAAAGTAATGGGGGTAACATGATGACCACATTATATACAAAGATGGAACCTAACATGCCTTGAAAAAAAGGTTGGAAGTCATGAAGAATGCTTTTTATGAAATTGTAAATACTGTAAACCAACAATCAACCAACCATTGCTGAAAGCTGTTTTATGCACCATGGTTCTGTTTACCATATGATTACAAAAAAAATCGAAATTTTTCCCCCTATGCGATGGAAGAATTTGATTGTACGCAGGGTTTCTTTGGTGTGGAGTAACTCGAGGTAAACACTACTTGGTTTGTTTGTTACCGGGAAGGATAAATTAAGGAAGCTACATCAGTTGATACAGAGTGTTGGGTAACCACTCTTAAATTTCTGTGTCAAGATATTATAGCATTTTGAGATGTTAAATGGAACTAAAGAATATAATTACCTATCCCTACTTCAAATATCAGGGAAAGTATTATCATTTTTTTATATATACCTGTCCAGTATAGTGTTTTAAAACAGTTCCTACAACCAAACAAGTGGACAGGTTCATTAGTAACTAATCCCTGCCTCACACACCACACAAATACAGGTACTCTTTTATATCTTCTGTATATCCATCCGCTTCACTATTTACCATAAGTAAACACACACACACGCACACGCATGCACACACACACACACACACACATATACACACATACACAGTAGCACCTGACATCTCTGAAAAACGTCAGGAACTAGTCAATGAAAATTATACATAAAAAAGTCAATGTTGCCAGCCCCAGGAGAGCAGTGCACCTCCAGGCTACTACAGTACTCCCTCCCCCAATCCTCTGAACCCTCAACTACTTTACTTTAACCAAAGTGAATAAAGTTGTGGCCACATAATGTTATGATACGTGTTTAATTTCTTCTCTTCTGTGGTACAAATATTCATACTGTATTGTAGCTAGATATTGTTATACAGGGTACAGTAATAACCATTTACACTTGAGTTTTACATCTCCCTTTAAAATTGAAGAAAGAAAATACACTAGAAGGTCAGTGTGGCCAGTACTGTACTCGACTGCTTTAATTTTCCAAACAGTAAATTTAGGTACACTGTATGCATTCACAGCTTGGTGGACTTGGGGTGACCTTCGCACAAACCCATTACCCTTACGACAGGTGGTGACTACTCGGTCATCACAGCTATCAATACTACATACACACTAATACTGTACTATAAGGTAGCCTGTACACCTGCTCACCCATGCAATACCATGATCACTCATGTGTAAATGTGTCATTTATTCATTTAGTTCTGTGGAGTACAAATTAATATTACAATATAATATACATTGGATTTTTCATTACATTAAATAACTATTACATTGTATCTTTAATATCCCTTGAACAGTACTGGACAGTTATTGTTTCATGTGAATACCACATACAGTACGTACACTCAACTACACTGATAACGCTGAGGACCACAACACCTGGTATCCAATAAATTGCCTCTCCACTGGGGTCTTGATGCACGCACATACATGTGTGTGTGTGTGTGTGTGTGTGTTGGGGAGGTTGCATGTACAGTATGTATTTACAGGCATGTGTAATCACATAAAATGTCAAACTAAAGTGATTCCGTGTGTTGTTCATAAGCTATCAGGCAGTGCAGAACCCCATCATACAAGTACAGTATAAAAACTTCTCAATTAATAAGACAGCAGGCATTTAGGTCTTTGTCCTTCATTATCAGTTATCAACATACAAAAAAAGTTTTCCATCGTTATACTATGTGACAGTACAGAACATAGAGAGTAAAGTCTGCACGAGTCTGCCCCTCTTTGGTATCGCACAACCAGGCTCCTTAAATACCTCCTATACACATAGTTGGAATGTAGCATAAATAACACATCATCATCACCATCACACTGCTAAAATACCTTTACTGTAGTAGGAAATATTTCTGGCTATCAATTCCTGTATCTTAGGCGACAACAAACCATAAAATATATCTACAACTACAGTAATTTCTTCAAGATAAACTAATCCATGGCATGAACCAAGTACAGTACAGTATTGTAGACTTAAAAAAAGGAGCAAGAATTTTGGTATGTATAAAGTCTGACAATATTTTCAAATACTTTTCTATGATATTAAACCTCAAAAAAGAAGTTGAAGAGACAAAAACTATCACTGTGAGCTTTGTGTTGTGCTGTTGTATGTTTGTGACAGTCACATATTTTCACCAATAAAAGATATACAATGAACATCATGCCATAACTCTGCATCACTGAAGTGTCTCATAACCACCACACACTCTGACGGGTTAATATGGACTCTCACCACCCACGAAACCTTACATCACTAACAATAATCATCATCCATCAATTAAATATATATCTCCCCTCAATCCTAACTGACCTAACCTAACCAAACCTGTCCTAAGAAGGCTATTTACACTCAGCTCAGGTCAACTCAATGTGTGTGAGGGCTACTGGCTGCTGGTAACAATATATTTTGGTGACGAGTCCTGTTACATTCAACAACATTACAGCTATAAAGTATATAAAATATTTACAAGACTCTTTCGAGATTCCCTGACAACTCCCATCTTACCAATGGTTTTATAACACACAATAAGGTTCTCAGCCACACCACATAAACCAAATGAAGATCTATGTCAGCAAGCTGGAACTAATGTACTGGTAGTCCAAGCAAAACAATCATTCCTTAAACTATACTTCCATCTCTGCATACTGGTACTTCTCTGTGCTTAGCTTACTAAGTATCAATGGTGAAATAAGGTTGGGTTGGGTTAGGTTAGAGACGGTAAATTAAGTATGGGCTAATCTCCAGGTCATGTGAATTTTCAAAGACTGGAACAATTCTCTTCTTTCATACATTGCAAAAGAAACAAAAAATAAATAGTATAGGGAATAATGTTTGGTTCTAGAGAGATAATTCTACTTGAGATTCTACATGATTAAACTATTAAAAGAATCTGATATAAAGCACAGGTACAGTATTTCCTCTTTTGTTATGTTCAGGAATGTTTTAAGAACTGTACGAGACTCATCAATGTCATCCTCTCAGCATTACAGTACATTGCTTCACTGATATACACACACATACACAAACATAACATACACACAAACACATATACTGTACTCCTGTACTGTATACTTGGAAACACCTGTACTGTATATACACACACCATACCCAAACACACCATACACACACACACATACACACTCACACATACACACAAATACATACATAAACACACAGACACATACTGTATACTAACATGATCAAGCCTTTATTCTCGATTTTCACAAAGTTGGATCATCGTCTATACTCAGGATTATGCTGTAGTATATATTACAATATGATGCAGTGTATATATTACAGTATGTTGGGCGGGGTGTATATATTACAATATGCTCGAGTGTACAATATATTACAGAACTAATAATCGATAACAAGTGTAGAGGAGGGGGAGGGGGGTGGGGGGGGGGGTTTGGGTCATGCAACAAAATTCAGCTATATGGTACAGTTGTAGTACATGTTTACACACAACTGCGGTTAAATATCAAAATAGATCCAAACTATCCACAAGTATTATTAAAAAATATATAAAACCTCAGTAAGTAACTCTAGTCATGGCGATGATGTTGTTGATGTTTTATTGGGTGGGGGGCGTTCCTGCTACTACTGAATCGTATAAAATCATTCCAAGAAAAAACAAAAAACAAAGGTAACTACCAACATGTCACAAAACCTCAGAGATGAAATATACTTTTTATTTATTTATTTATTTATTTGGCTGCATCTTTTGTTATTGTTCTTTTTTATTGTACAGAACTTCCTCATCTAGTCCTGAAAAGAAGAAAAAGAACAAAATTATACATGTGTGAACAAAAGAACATCATGCACACTTAAGCATTGGCAAACATGCATGAGAGAGAAGAGAGAAGGAGAGGAGAAAAGAGGAAAGAAGAAAGTAGAGAAGAGGAAAGAAGAAAGGAGATAAGAGAGGAGAGAAGAGAGGAGAGGAGAGGAGAGGAAAGAAGAAAGGAGAGAAGATGAGAGGAGAGAATAAAGGATAGGAGAAGAGAGAGAAAGTTGCTCTATCAAGTGTCTCAATAAAACACTTGAATACAATACAGCAGTCATGACCTGGATCTGAAACCGTAATAAATAATACCTGCAATAACAATAATAATTATAATATTGTAAAAACAAATAATAATAATAATAATAATAATAATAATAATGCCACAATAATAATAATTAAGCCACAATAATAATAATAATAATAATAATAAAAATAATAATAATATACCAGCAAGAAGTGTTATGTTGTGGGAAAATGTCAAACACGGTACAGTACTGTATTACTCCCAAGTTAAAATATCCACATATGCAAGCACGTAGACACACACCACAGGCTGTACACCCCTCAACTTCATCATGGTTATGACTACCATGTACCACAGCATCATGTCTCCTTACACCAGACACAGAAAATTCTAGGAGATATGTAGACCAATTCATCACAAGCATTTGGCAATATCCCATGATACGATAGTTACCTTCAATAAGATCATCTTTGGATGGTGGTGTGCAGACCACGTACACACTACACTACACGAGTCATAACTTTCTATACAGGGTCTCACAGATCAACAACCATCAAGATATTATTACTAGTATTAAAGGCTGCCTTCAGTGGTAGAAACTTGGTAAATACTGTACAATAGTACAGCATCTCTTAATTAGTATTTATTATATGAATTTAGGCTTTTTCCAATTCCTTTGGCATATTTTTCATCATGGCCACAACATGACACATGCAACAATCCTGATGTAAGAGTGCTGACCGAAAGAACAGTCACTGTGAATACATTCCTTGTGCTCACTGTCTCTTCTGTAACAGCCCGAAGGTCAATTCACTTTAAACTGAATTCAGCAGGAAATACAACATTTGTTCTACGGAAGATATAAGGTAAAAATGGTTACAGTAATTGTTACTTATAAACTGCAATTCATATTCAAATTTATTTTTTAAATGTAACCATATGGAAATAAGTACTGTGGTAAGACCTATGTTTATATACTGTACAATAACAACTGAGGCTCACAGAACTGAAGAACAAGTGCCGAAAATGAAAAACAGAGAAAAATGCAGTTAATGCCTGTAAACATTCAAATTACCATAACTTTGGAACTAGCGAAGATATTGAAGTGATTCAAGTAGCAGATTGTACCATTGTTAGTGCAGATTTAATTGGTGCTAGTGAAAGACATCATACAAAGTGTTTTCAGGCATACTGGTGCTTGTCCTACTTCAGATCTGTGCTCCTCAATTACTGCCACACTAGTTTGTTCAACATAACAGTTGTACAGTCAGCAAAAACAGTATCTGCACCTTTTCAGTGTTATACAATATGACAAACTGGACCAAGAATTCTGACAAATGCATTCCATATGTCGAGTTGCCACTTACTCTTTACCTTCTGTTTTCTATGAGATGATTAATTATGTCAGTGTGCACAATGTGCTTCACGTGATATGAATAGAACAGTGAGCACCTCTTTATTAGCTTGTGTTATAATGAAGGGGTTTTGTAAGCTTGTTTCATAACACATTTAATTTTTTACAGCAAATGATGTGAAATAGTGTACAGTATTGTTTACAAAATGTAGTGCAGGTATTTTATATTAATTCTTAGATGAGGTTTTATATTTCGTCCAAAATTTTTACTTATATCAAATATAAGTACAATATACTGTACAGTACTCAGGAGCTACAGCAACTTCACTTCATCTCATAATAAAGCAATTTACAGTATGTGAAATTCTTATACAGCAACTCATTTCCTCCTGGTGGAAGACATTTCTTATGTAATACAAGGTAGTATATGTATAATTATTTTAGTGTCTGTTTTTCGTTAAGGTCGTCTATGTATTCCTGTTAATTTCTCTAGTTTAACTATACATGAACCCTCAACATTCACGGGGGTTAGGGTCCTCACAAACACCGTGATTATCAAATCCGCAAATGTTAAACTTAAGACCTTATGGGAAATATGGGGTTAGGGGATCCACACCCTTGAAGAGCTACCTTTTATAAGTAATATTGCACAGTTAAACATAGTAAATATAATATATGTAAAAACATAGTAATATACTGTACTGTAATCACCGATGAACATGATGACGATGATGGTGGTGATATTGGAAAGGAATTAGGTGGACGTGGGGTCATGCTCCATTTTTTTCCAGGTAGTGTTATGGGTTTGAAAAGTTACTTTGGTGCTTTTTTGGGGCACTTGCAGAAACACTTGCATGAATATTTGCCCCATTTTCTATTATTGAGCTCACGGTTGACTCATACCATAATGACGTTCCACAGTTGCCGCACTATCACCCTAAGCACGGCGATCAAGCAACTCCAGTCTTTTGCTTAAAGTTATTACTTTCTTCTGCTTCTTTGCACTTGATCCAGTCACCCCACTCATTGTCTGCTTAGGAGGCATCACTAAGGACATAAAGTCACCAAAATGAGCAATAATAGCGAAGTCATGTACAGTAAATAAAGCGTCCTTTGGAAACGCCAAGAACTACAGGAAAATGTGACCACAAACCATGAATGACCAGTGAATAATCAAATCTGTGAAAGTTAAACCCGTGAATATTAGGGTTTACTGTACAGACATATCATATTTGTTAAACAGTGTTTCACACAGTCAGAAATACCAACCCTAGCAAATGAACACAACCACAGTCACAGTGATTATTTCAAAGGCTATCAGACCAGGGGTGAAGATCCTTTTGTTGACTGTACAACACTAAATTGAATATTTACAAGTCCCTAAATGTAGCACTGACAAGTTGATGCCTCCCTCACTCATCAACAGACCAGCATGACTGCCTCGACTGTAAGTGCTTATGAGGGTCTATCGTCTTGACATTTGTACATCTACAAGTTGTTTCCTTTATAAAGTCTTCACCTCCTAGGTGTCATGCAGTCAGTCACAGAGAAAAGCTAACATCAACAGTACAATATTATATTACAGTTTCTTATTATATCTCAAGAAAGGAGATGAGATATAAGAATATATACAGTATATACAGTATCAAGACACCTTAAAAGTCCTGTTATTGCCAAGTGACATGATTACATACGTAGTTTCATTAAAAAAGAAAGTTCACTGTAAGAGAATTTACCGAATACTGTACAGTACATGTAGAGACAACACATAACAAATACTATACAGTACAGTACATGTAGAGACAACACAATGTCCACCACTGAAGGTACAGTACACCCTTTAAAGGACGGACAACACCACACCATTACAATACACCTGTAGTTATGTAAGACACAGGTAAGACAAACTTTACAGGAAGATATATAACTAGAGCATTAAAACTAAAAAAATTCATAGGAAGGTAAGGTTAGGTTCAAATAGTTTTGGTTAGGTTGGGTTAGATTAGATTAAGTTGGGTTGGCTTAGGTTAGATTAAAATACGTATGGTTAGGTTACGTTAGATTAGATTAAGTTAGGTTACATTAGATTAAGTAACTAAATCATGTCTAGCTGTGATGTCTGTAACCCATTCAAGATGTCGGTAGAGAGAGCATGTAGCAACACTGCACAGGGGAGGTTATTCATTGTGGGATTTTTCTGTCTGCCAGGGCTTGTACCTTACACCCAGGAATTTCATGTGTTCCCATACCCTCAACACTTAGTTTACTGGCCAGTCACATGTGCTAACTAGTCATTCAGGGACACTGTTAAACTGCTAAATGTGAGTGGAGGAGCTGTGTCTTCCCCATTATTACTGGATATGTGTGAACCATTTAAGTCTTTGCAGCCAGCCAATGAGTGTCTAGCTATCCTACTGGTATATATTTACTGTATGAAGTTATGATTAAGTCAATGGTTTCACAATTAGAAAGTCAAGAGATGATGCTGAGTGTACCAGTAATGGGCAGTATGAGCAGCACTAGCCAAGGTCAACATGGCACAGCTGTCAATAACACTGCATGAATAAAATGTCAGCACTGTACTGTAGAGGTTATTGTGAAGAGATGAGAGCATGTGTCTGAGGGTGTTGTTATGTCAAGAGATGACTATCATTGGAGTCAACACAGTATTTACACACAGCCATATTACAAAGGGTTTTAAAGCTGAGGTTAATGTTATGAAATGAAAATTCTAATGACTTTGGAGCTAATTTCAAAATCCTTCTATTCTAAACTGTATCAGTCAGTTCAGTGAATAACAATCTACTGTAGACTGATTTGAATTAACTGACTCCATCATCCCGAATAAAAGTGTAATATACATGAACAGTTCCATGGATGACATACCAGAATATCTAATTATAGCTACAATTCATACTTCAGGTTCTGGTTACAAGCTTCAGCGATTATTATAAAGAATAATAACTTTATAATACTAATGAGTTTTATTTGGATCAACATTGCAGCTAAAGGTGATTAACATTGATTGACTAGAATGATAATGTGGAGCTCTTAACTTCCCCAGTTAGGACATCATCAACAGGTCTGTGCCGATATACCTGGCGCTGATATTTTCTCAATCATAATTGCTCCATAACTTTAATTTACCTGGCTGTCAACTTGTCATCTTATTAAATATCTCAATAATCACTTCAGTAACTTAACATCACAATGATCTTAACCTTTCAATACAGTATATGCATAATATTTCTTTAGTACAGATGTGAAGTCACAACACCAATCTAATACTCAAAATCTAACTCCAGAATCCCCCCAAATGCACAAAAATACCTGAATGACTCCACACCCTCCACCTCAGAACTACTCCCAAGGCAACACTGATGACACAGACCCCAAATGAGACAAGACCTTATAAAGAAATGGGTTCCTGTATGCCACATGGGATTCAAATACATTACAAAGTGACAATCCCCTGGAGAGTAGGTCATCTAACTTACTGTACAAGACAACACTGAATAACTTCTAGTTAGAGCAGCTGAAAAAACCAATGAACTCAAGAATGGAAGAGCAGAGGGACCTAATGAAGAAGAGGGTAGTCGTGGGTGGAAACAACAACGGACTCCAGTCCTAGCTGGCTCAAACTTATCCTATCCAGAACAAAGAGTAAGACCCAAGAGGTCCCAATCTAACTAGTTAGTGACGTTAGGGCTATTAGGATTGATGATCATTGAAACAGTAATTTTTTGGTTAAAAAATAAAAGTGGATAAGGAGGACACAATGTCTCACCTCAAAGACTGAATGGAAATGACTCATTCTTCCTGTCTGAGGTTAAAGAAACATACAGAGAGGTGGATTGCCAGGGATCTTAAGTAGAAATGAGCACAAGTCAGTTAGATCAGATCAGACATTAAACAAAACAGGAAAATATTTAGTCTATGGCAAATATATCAACTTCATGCTAAGTTTGAAGGAACTCAGTACAGGAAGTCCCCGTGTGAACTTGTGTTAGGTGGTGACTACCTGTCTGTACATAACAAGACAAGACCTGGTTGCTGAAGAACACTATGACAGGTAGTGGGAGAGCAAACTACTTGTTCTAGTCTGAAGTCATGGCACACCTCAAGGCAACACACTGGCAGTTAAATTTTCTAGTTTTATATGGAAAACACATATCTCTTCATGATCTACCCAACAATGTGTATTAGAGCCATAGTCTACATTTCTAAACAAACAGTCTTGAAAGCTTAAGGAAATGTTGGCAAATATTGACTTATTTACATATTATCAAACTGACCATTTCCAGGAATTTTAAATAACAGGGGAAACCTTTCTGTAATAATGTTGTTTTTTATTGATCTTGGTATAATATACACTATTAGCATTTAAATATGTACTTACAAGTAGGGAAATGATTATGAGATGCGCTGGACACTGATGAAGGACTGAACACACACTTTAATTTGGTCTTAATCAATACTTAATATTATATTCACACTCCTGTGTTTCAAAGCTATTAAGAACTTTGTCTTTTACATCTTTACTCCCAACCTATTTCTTGATGTACTGTACAGTGCTGGGTGTCTGAGCGTAAGTCACCAGATAACAGTTGGGTCAGTGACAAAATATTACACAGTTTGCAGTAAATCATCCATAATGGTTCATAGTCAGAAACAAATTACAGTACTGTGTCCTATATTGAACATCTAAGTTTATTATATTTATATTTCTGAATCTACAATCTAAATCTGAAAGTGAATCATGATGAATCTTACTCCTCCCACTGTCCTCACCTGAGTGTCTTATGTCACCTGTTCACAATAATCTAAGCTGCCTCATATGGAGTCCAAAATTTCAAAAGCTCTGAGAATACGTCAACAATGTTTAAACAACACACATAACTGAGTTTTGGATTGTATCAGTTTTGACTTCTGCATAAACATTTCAATTACCATTTTCTAAAAACACAACGACAAGTTACTAATATTCCACTGCCTCTCTTTAGTCAGCCTTTACGGGCTATCACAGGAAGATGGAAAGAAAATGTCATTCACATCCTGCCACTGTTTCTTCAGTGCACAATAACAGGTAACCTACAGCTGGAAGCTTAACTAGCTGCCTCCTAATGCTAATGGCATCGCTAAAGTTTGACATTTACAATCAGATAAAAAAAATATGAGTAAATAAGCTTTAGCTTTAAGAATTATTGATCATATAAAGAAGCAAGTTTTTTTTCTGCAGGAAGATTATTTTGTAAACTGGGAGTCAAAGTGAACATGTTACTAATGGATTTGTATCTCCAAGAGGAAGCTCAGTCCATGGCTCTGTTGTATGTGCCGTGTTAAAAACAGTAAGTGTTTTATATAACAAAAACGTGAGCACTGCATAAAAGGGTACAAGTCATCCTCACATCACGGGCAACAATACTTGTCAAAGGTAATGTTATCAGACACATGAGTCACTGTCAAGTCTTACAACACAGCAAATGATAAGAAATGTACCTAGTGTGTACTTCCTAAAGTATAATTCCTCAGCAGACATGTTTAACAACAAATGCTTTTTCATTTATCTATATACAAATAATTATCCACCTGTCCCTCAAGTATAATTTACTTTTTGCAGTGTGACAATTTTTCACAAGTTTTCTAATCTCAACTGATAATTGGCAGTCAATTTCATCCAATTACTTAGCTTATCAAACAGAAAAAAAATTATACTGAAAATTCTATCAAGCCTTCACATCCATGGCTGACATATTTGTGTAAGGCAATGATGGATACTTTATCAGGAAAGAATATACAGTATTTATCATCAATATAATAAGTAACAACTCACAAATATGCCAATATCCTAGGAAAATTGATCAAATAAATCCTAGATCTAATAGTCCCAGTGTTAATAAGTCCTGCCCTAACCTAACCTAACCAACAGGCCTGGGGTTCTTTCATGATGGTCTGCAGGCTTAGATTGGACTAAGCTAGGTTGGATTAGGTTAAATTAGATTACGTTAGGCTTCATTAGGTTAGGTTAATAGTTATTATTAAGTAAGCTTAGGCTAGTTTAGGTTACGTTAGGTAAGATTTGATTAGGTTACGTTAAGTTAGATGCGGTGAGATTGGGTTAGTTTACATTACCCTAGGTTAGGTTAGATTAGAATAGGTTAGGTGAGATTCAGTTAGGTTAGGTGAGGGCCTATTAGAACTTAGACCCATTTAACCTCCAACCATTCCCACACAATTTCACACCCACTACTATGACCTCCACGGAATATCATCAGGAGTTTCTTAAAAAATGAAAGAAAAATTACATTGTATATAAGTTCACAGCATCAACAATATTGTGGATGGAAGACAGAGGAACACCAACCATTACAACCACTGGAAAAATAAAATATTAGGAAACAGTATTATCAAAAGGATACTTACATCAGTGTGTGCATGTGTGTGTGTGTGTGTGTGTGTGTGTGTGATTGTGTGAGTCCATGAGTGAGTGAGTGAGTGCATAGATATGTGCTTGTGTGTATTCGTGGGTGTGGAGAAGGAGATGCACATGAGGGATTCTGTACACAGTTATATATATATATATATATATATATATATATATATATATATATATATATATATATATATATATATATATATATATATATATATATATATATATATATATATATATATATATATATATATATATATATATATATATATATATATAAATTACCTCACATACCGACAACATCTCTGTGCTTCCGCAACAACACAAACAACAGCATCACACACACTCACACTTCCTCTGACTTAAGTAACTACAAATGCTTACTTATCATTACCAATTCACTGTGTTTGTTGTATGCATTGATGGTAATATCATCGACGGAGTTGATGGAGTAACCAGTGATGGAGTCTGGACTCTGGAGGGAAGCGGTGTAAAGAGGGTTAACTGGGGTCTGGCCATCACCAACCACCTCTTCTGACAAGCTGCTGTAAGGAGCACTGTTTGACTGTTAAGAAAGAAAAATCATTAGCCTATGTTGAAAATGTTATCCATGAAAGTTAATCTGAATCATAAGGTGAAAAATTAATAGAATTATTGTACACATACACATGCTTAATCTATCCTCCATCTCAAAATTTTAACTTTTAACCCTTATGTGGCGATTATTTGTAAATTTCACGTGACTGTACCCGACAATAGATTTTCAGGATTGTCAAAAAGTTAAAGAACTATTTGATGGTTCGAACTCACTTCTGGTTATGCCAAAATATGTGAAAAAATAAATAGTACTGTACTGTATAGACTTCTAGACACAAAGAAATTCTGATATATTATGGGACTACTGTACTGTACCTATACTGTATTCTACTGAGGAATAATGCACACAGAGCAAAATACACACATTACCCAAAGCTTTCATACCTGATATATATTCTGCTGAGGGAATTCAGTGCCTGGAAGGGGCAATGAGCTGGTATCATCATCATCTTCTGATTTATAAGAGAAAACAATATTCTCTACCTGTTCACGACTCTTCTGTCTGTATCAGAGGAGAGAAAAATGATAAGTAATGATAAGATTATATTCTACTGCAATGTAATCAATATATGTAAAACAGGCAATTTTATGTAGGACAAATTCTTTTTCTTTTAATTATTTCCAGCCATCCTGACCCATAGCCATTTTCAACACTTGCGTGGATTAGACCTGATCACCTGATGGCATATTTGAAGCAAGTTCTACCGTTGATGTCCTTCCTATTGCTGACCATCTTTACAGTGGGAACTAGGCATTATATGTAGGAGTTTTAAAAATTCCTACAACTGCATTATGAAAAACACAAGTCCCTCATTTCTTATTTATTTACACAGTGTACAGTACTAATCAAATGGTACGTGAGGAGTATAAGATTATAACTGTCAAAGAACACAAATATGAATCACACACAAAATTTTTTTACCTGAACTTCCAGTGGAATATACTGGATGTATCATTTTAAGTATAACTGATAATTACTTTTTGAACCCTAATTTGCCTGAAGAATCCCAATACTTACCCAAAGAATTCCGATATAAAAGTATAGTAGATTAGAGGAGCGAGGAGAGAGAAGTAGGTCCAGGTCGTTGCGTTGACGAGGCAGAGTCCTGCAGCCATGCGGACATGATACAGACCGCTGCCAATGCTCTGGATCAGGTTCAGCACGGCCAAGAACCCCAGGTACACATAGAATGCACGTTTCACTGAAAGATTGAGACACATAAATGAATTAGCAGCACAACCTAACATAACATTCCTAGGTTTAGTAACCAGATGTGGTGATTCTACATACAAATAATTATCCATGTACTATATATAATTGTGAACACCAAAGCAGCTGCACTGAATATACTTCCAATTTATCATAGAGAAGTTTCATTTGAATGTAAAACTTTATAAACTTTTCCCATTAATCTTTTAAATCATAAAATTGCTATTCCACTGATGTGTTCATGACTCAATGCCTCTCTCCCTTTCAGCAGTAAAATTAACACTCTACACTTCCTCTTTGGATCAGAGCAAATTTCAGAGGGTAGACCCACAGCATTCCCCAGACAACATAGTTTGATTAATTCAGTTACAATGGACTGGTGGAGACACAGGAATGGGAGGCAGTGAGAGACAACAGAGTACTGGGAGACATCTCTTGGAATTTAGAGACTTAATCATGTACTACAACAGAATAAACCATAAAAAAAATTTAATAATATTAAAAATGCCAGTTATCTGAGGTTTTCAGATAACCTGAGCATTAAATAAATGGATTTGTAATATATCTCTGCAATGGGTATTGCAATATTCTAAATTATGATTAAACAATGCCACTGTCAAAGTAAAAAAAAATTAAATCATAAATGAGACAACAGTCAACTCACTCGGCATCCAGAGGAGAAAGAGAGCTTCCTCAACCAATCAAGTCTTAACACCAAGATGAATGAGTAGATCTGAAGAAAAAAAAATGAAGTGAGAAATGATTCAGTTTGTTACAGTACTGTAATAATTATCTCAGCATTCATGTATGACAACTATGTAAAAAAAAATTATATATATATATATACTCTCGTGTTTCATAAAATTCTACCAACAATATGTTTCACTTTGTCAAGAAAGTAAATTACAAGAATAAAAACATGAAGATAAATTGTTGCTTATATAGACATTGTATAGAAAGTAAGAACAGCCAGGGCAATATATATACTGTACTGTACTGTAAACACAAGAAACTTACCAGTGTGAAGAAAATGGAGGAGATGAGCCAGAAAAGTGAGCCACCATGACCAAACAGCTCATAGTCCTTGCTGGGGACATCAAAGTCATGGTCAGGAGTGAGCACCTCCAGAGCTCCTTGTACCACAGAGTATGGCAGGGCGATCATGGAGGTTACAACAAGCACCCGCCTGATACTGGTCTTGTTGTCCAAGTGACCTGCATGAATAATAAAAAACTACAATACACATATGAACCATCAGAAATTACCCACCCTAAACATATCCCTTAGCAATGAAAAACTACAAGTAACATTAAGCGCACTAAAACTTTGCCACAAATTAAGTTCTTAAAAAACTCACCAAAAAAGACAGCAAAAAACACGCTCATCTCAGTGGCCAGCAGGAAGAAACGTACAATAACGTACAGTAACTTGTTGGCAACGTCTCCTGAGGGAGTAGCTGGACACGGTCATTGACACAACACATCTTGCCACAGATATCAATGTGTTGAGCCAAATCTGGAAAATTTTATAGAAATCATTCTCTGTGATGTACAGTATATAGTATGTTAAAGTCACCCTACTGGAGTGGGAGAGGGTTAGTAGGAGTGGAAAAAACTAATTCGTCATTCTTTAAATTTTACCAAACATTACTATTAAAATTTTGAAAGATTAGCAGACTTTGCTTATATTATTTATAAACATATTCACTGAGACGCTGAGGTGGCATAAGCACTGTACTGTGCAAGTAAAGGAGAATGTATAACATTGTTCTCCAAGACTCCAGACTTTTTAACTTGTTACCAGCAAACCTCTGAAACATCACTGGGAGATTTATGGAGATCTTCATTACGAAATGTGACAAATTCTTTAAATGACTCTGTAGTGGTTATAATGTCTTGTGAGAGTGAACAGTAAAAGATGTGTTAACCACAACTGAACACTGTAGTCCTCATGGTTCTATCTGCACAATAGAGACAAGAAACACTGATAAAATAAGCTGCTCTAGCATTTCTGGGGAGGATGAATATAAAATAAGCTAGCCCACTCACCAGGCCATAAAATGTTGCATATATAGGGCTGTGCACGGCACGCAACTGGCCTCGCACTGTTTATCTTGAGAAGGAGACCAATGAGAAATAAAAGTGTTGGCAGGAGCAGCAATAAGTCCCACACACGAACTCTGTAATGACGACTAACAGTAAGCTGGTAATTCATTTTTAGGGTGTAAAAGACTGTACCTCTATGTACTGTGTGATATTCATAATTAGGATCTCATGTATACATATTTAGATAATTTTAATAATAAATAGAATAAACATCAATTATATACCACATATCAGAACATAAAATATTATTAGCATCTTTCAATACAGTACATAAAGTATTGGTAATACTATACTGTAGACATCAGTGTAAAAGGAAGGAGGCACTTCAAGAAAATTTTCTGTGGGAGAAAACTTGTTTCTTACCTCATGGATAGAAAGAAATGGGTGAAGAAACTGAAAATTTCCTGCTTTCAGTTTTCCATTGTTTTTGTTAGAAGTGAATAAAGTGCGTCACTTGGATTTCCACATTCACCTTTCTCCTATTAATAATAATAAAAAACTACCTCACATAACCTAAAATAGATAACAAAATAAAGCCTTTCAATTCAAGGAAGTTAGGTTAGGTTTGGGAGGTCTAGTTAGTTTATTTTATTATGAAACATTGTTTGTCTCCTGATGCACACATGAGTAATACATACCAGCTTCCCTGATAGCTCCCTGAGTGGTGCAGAAGGATATTGAGGATGTAAACATTAGGAACCTAAATAGGAACACTGCAATTCCTCCAGCCATTTCTCTCTATTCATGAGGTAAGCAACAAGTTTCCTTCTATAGAAAATTTCCTTAAAGTGGCTCCATTCCATGAGTCTGACATCTTAAGTGTTAACAATTTCATTAATGTACCTTAAATTTAGAAGTTATTTCCTAGGAAAAGAAATCAATTGAACTTGATACACCTAATTCACAGTGGCAAGTGCTCAACTGCCTCTACGCCCCTGCACTAAACACACACACTACTGTCAAGTAAAACAATTCATCACTAAACTATGATTTTCCAAGAGATGAACCATTGAAGAATAAATAAAGTGGTCAATACTCTGTGGTTCACTTCTGATAATATTAGATACAGTTCTGTAATAGTTTGTTAAATATTTTGTTGAACCACTCAAGTCACAGAGGCCACAGCGTACTGTACTGTACTGTACTTGGCATTTTCTTAGTAAATTCAAAGTTACTTTTATGTAGTTCTGAAATAAGATCTATTAAATACAAATAAATAGAAATAATACAAGTTTTGTAAATAAATTCTGAAAACCATTAGTTTTTTGGTGCCAATTTTATAGCATTACCAAACATTCCCCTAAACAGTACAGTATACATTTGGCCAGGTTGCTGCTCTGGCCGGAACACTCTCGTCAAGTATTATACATTTTCTTCTTGTAACTTGGTCAGTAAGTGAGCATTCCTTAAATTACACTCGTATGATGCACTGAACCTTTACCAACCGTGTAAGGTTGTCTAAGGGTTGGTTTACTGTAATAATAATGTGAAAGTCTCAACCATGTACACACAAAACAACAAAATATGGACATCAGAAGCATAATTTTCTTGATTTCACCTTTACTTAACAAGGTGTGCAGAGTGCAGTAACAACTATCAACAAATATTTGATCCAAACATATCAAGAACTTAAGTAACGACCTTCCCCTACACTATAACCTCTGTAACTACAAGTACAATATGGTAAAGTGAGAATTTGTGATACACGGTGGTGAGAGCCAGACACCTCACCTGGAGTCTCCTATCTCCATGTACAAGATCAACTTGCAGAAGCCATCCTTCTCGAATGGTGGTTGTGTGGTGGTGGTGTTGTCAGGAGCAGTGGTGGTAGTGGTGGTTGTAGTGGTGGTTGTTGGTGGTGGTGGTGGTGAAGGAGTGGTAATGGTCGGGCTCCCCGTAGTCAGGGGATCCAGGCTAGTCGATAACACATCCGCCATTTCATAAATAAGAACTCCTCAACACGTCTTCACATCTCTCTACGTTGGTTGTGAGCTCAGACAGCGATATTAATCATAAGTATTTCATGAAGAATTTTTCAGGTAAGGTCTTGTTATGCTTGACATGGATGCGTCACGCAAGACGGAAACAATAATAATACAAGTGGAAATGAAAAAAGAGAGAAGCAGATCGAGACGGGCGGCAAGAATAGGTTCAGATTACGTGATCCTCTTCTGATCCTCCTTCTGCAATATAATTATTTTCCACAACTTATTTGGGTTTTTCGTTTATAGATCACTAAGAAATCCTGAATATCTTTTTAAATCATATTATAAAAGTCAATCATAAAACTTGTATATTGTGTATACATCCACTGCGGATTATTTAAGTGGGATAAATTACTTATATAAACTATATGAGTTATAGTATTTCACAAGGCATTAACATCAAGCTTTATGATGTAATAAGTTGGTGCGATATTTGAAAGAACTATTACATAATAACGAGGTTGGTTGAGCACCAAACATATGGATGAAATTTTGCACATACAGGTACAAACACACATACAATATATATATATATATATATATATATATATATATATATATATATATATATATATATATATATATATATATATATATATATATATATATAAATATATATATCAGACCCATTGTGGGGTACGTGATGTTGGTTCACACTCTGGATGGGATGGAGAAAGGAAACTCACATGTGCTCCCATGTATACATGTTGTATTGGATGTACAATGCAGCTTGGTGCTGGGAAGGCAGCATGGTTACAAGCGTTGAGTAAGGAGAGCTGGTTGGTGAGGGTGCTCAGAGGAGGACAGCTTGTGGGTCGTCATGCTCGCCGGCGGGAGCGAGGACCGCCAGGCAGGAGGAGGAGGAGGTGGTGTTGCTTGCTGGTTGGTGTAGGTAGAAAAGAGTGGTCACCACGAGGTCAGGTCTTATATAGCGGAGGTAGGCGTGGCTTAATAGTTGACCTCCGTGATGTATGGCGGCGCTAGTTGACCTAGACCACGAGGCACACACTGGGGAATTCGCGGGGTCGGCTACTCAGCGACAAACAGGGTTTGTAGGGGAGGTATCCACTACACCATCGCCTCAGAGAAGCGAATTAAAGATCGTTCACAGAAAATTGGCACACTTTTTCTTGAACTCCTAATTACATACTCGTTTGCAGCGGCAGGGCAACCTATCATTACAGACATTCCGCTTACAATCAAATTGAATTAAGCGTCTCTCCCACGCGGCCACCTGTACAATGACATGATCGCGGTATTCCTACTTCTAGAGGTTCTATTTAACCAATGGAAAGCCGTTCAATTCCCACACGTAGATCTCTTCTCATCCAGACTTATGTTCCAACCAGGACTCCACAGCCACGACTACAGGACTGGAGCCTTCAACAACTCCATCACTGTATACCAGTCGTCCCACGACTGCCCAGCCCACGTCGTACAATTTCCTCGTCCTCCTCTCCAGCCCACAGAACACCAAGCATTCCAGCACTGTTCCACCAAAAATTCCACAATTCAAGCATTCCCGTAAACGCCCCATAATTCCATGACTGCCTCGCCGACTTCCCATGGTTCTGAGCTTCACCGAGCGGCGCCATATTCCACGGCTTCATTGCTACCCTTCCTTTGTCATACTCCTGACTTCATCCAATCAAACCTTGTTTTACATATTATAAGTCTTTATTGCATCACCGTGTTAAGCTTTTGTATTACTTTCTTAACCAACCTCATCAAAGACAAGAGACTATAGACTACTATTTAGTTCAAAAATATAAATCGTGTTCTTCTAAGCTTACCTCCCTTTCCATTAATAATTTTGCATTTTTTCATATTTATTTAAATTCGCGTCATAATTCGAAGTCTCCCACTAGCTCCTCTGGTGAGGGGGCAAGATCCCTCCCTGTGTGCAGCAAGCATTCTCTCTCTGGATCCTATGCTGAGGGGCTGGAAACAATTTACTCTTACTTTTACTTTTTTACTCGATGTTAGAGTATGTAGTCTCCATTGGCTTAAATAAGTCAGGAACACAACTGATTCTAGAGCTTCTGAGTAGTGGTGGCCAAGGTCCCCAGACCCATATCCTGCTGGGACAAAGCAATATTCCTGGTTCAGTCTATTGTACTTTGCTTTCCCCTAACCTTGCTGCTCTCCCCGCTCCATCTGGACTGTGGGGGAGAAGTAAGCACCGAAGTGGAAGCACACATGTAGCCCCCACACCAGATGTTAACCAGCCTTCCAGGGGAGTGGCAATATTCTATCAGGATGCTTCTTGTCTGATCTATAGAAGCCCGAAGTTGTCAGACCGCCAGTTGATTGAGAATGTCCAAAGGAGAGCCACCAAACTGGCGTGGCATACACCCATCACTTAAGAGAGAGAGTAGATTTTGATCTTCTGCAGTCGCCTACATTGTACTATGTTCACACCTATCTTGCAACTGGACCAAATCTAAGGACGCTGATGATTGGTCGAGTCACGACTGGTAAATATGTAAATATGCGTGCGAGGAGGGGGGAATGACAACAAACGCCACTGGTCATTTTTATATTTCTCTTTTTCCCTTTTAAGATACGTGTATCTACGTTATCAATGTCTCACAGGTTCATTTTTACTTCCCTGGCTTCGGATATCTTTCTATATCAATATTCACTTGTTAATATGACTGTATTTGAAATAGGAGAATAAAACAAATAATGAAGAGCGCTAGATTAACTCAACGCACCCCATTCCACCAGCCAATCACCTGCATTGACAAGAATCTGCTCTAAGCTCTGATTGTAAAGCTCACGTGAGCGGAGAATAATTAGTCTAATACTGTACTACTACACGTAAGGGCAAGGGGCGATTTAATACAAGTTTAGACGAACCTCACAGGGCATTACTCAGTCAAACGTACAGTGCAGTACATCATATACCTGTATTGTCTATTGCACGGTTATTAAGTGTAAACTTGTATATATAAAGATATTATTGAATAAAAAATATATGTATCAATCAACCTAAATACCCTGTATTATAATCCACTTCTGTAGCCAAGACTTAAAATAATTTCCCGCCATGCTTGGGATGATTAAACTAACCAGGGCAAAGAGGATAATTAAGTATATAATATAAGTAAACGACCAGGTAAAACATTTCAACTGACCATGTCAGTACTGTGTGTTGCCTCACTCTCACTCTGCATAGGAAACTAATACGGTGCAGGACAAGACAGAGTGCAAAAAGGTCGGAATGTATCTGAACTTTACTCAATAAATTTAAAGTAATAGCATATTACTCAGTCGAGTGTTCATACCTGGAGCAGGTGGATGCCCGCCCCTTTAGGAGTCACAGCTTAGGTTGAAGAAGCCACAAGTTCAGAAAATCCTCAAAGGGTTAAAAAGAGATCCCTCAGAGAATTTTAAAAAATCTTGTGTGTTAAGATCATTACATGAATACTTTAAGGAAATTCTACACCATCTTTAACTTTTATTAATATTTCAATTTATTCAATAATATTACTACGTATATAAAAAAAACTAAGTATTACCTTAATAAGAGAGTTGCCTATAAATATTAATACAGGAGTTGGCTTAAACTAATCCACTGAGTACGATAACTGAAGGACGATGAGGCTGTATCTACATGAAGGTAAACGCTGGCTTGGGGGTCGACCTCTCCGTCAGCAGGTATGGCGATAACACCTCCAGCTCCGGCCTCCTGTACCTCCACCTGTTCTCGGTGACCCTAATGCCCATGACACCCATCTCCCACTCCGTCGGTCTCTTTATCACGTGCACCCACGATGGCTTCAGATAACTGTGAGGTGAAGCGAAGTTTGGCTTATAACTCAATAAAGATCAAATTGATTAGATGTCATGTTCGTTATACTTTTCCAACATTGTCTGTCTTGCGTCGCCATCAATGTATAGACTTTTAAATATTTATACAATTGTTTGAGAAGTCGATTCCATTAAGTTATCGGGAGTTTTTTGTACTGTTTCTGACATGTAAAAACGATGACATTTGTACATATTTAAGAGAGAGAGAGAGAATTATATATATCACCTGTAGTCGCTGAAGGGGTAACCGATGATGAAGAGCTCGGTGTTGTAGAAGGTGAAGCGGAACATCCCACGGTGGTGTGAACGGATGTCTATGTTCCATACTCCCAGACACTAACAGACAAAAACACCTGTTAATGCTTACTGCTCTGGTGGCTGGTATGATTAGTGCCTTGTACTGTGTATGGTGGTAACTACATACACACACACTTGAATACCATCAACAATACACGGTTAAAGTATTCCACAAGACACACTTAACACATTCCACAAGACACACTTATCACTATCAACAAGACAAGACACACTTAACACACTCCACAAGACACACTTATCACTATCAACAAGACAAGACACACTTAACACACTCCACAAGACACACTTAACACACTCCACAAGACACACTTACAGCACCAAATTTGAGCCAAGTAGGGTAGTCATTATCGCTGGTCATTGAGATGAAGAGGACGACTGGACCAGCCTGTGAGAGAGACAACACGACCACTTAACAATGGGGTAGTAAGATTAACATGATGGTGCAGTGGATGATTCGATCCCCTTGAGTACGATCGTTTACCCCTTTGAGTACTATGGTTTAACCCTTTAAGTATGATGGTTTAACCTTTTGAGTACGATTGTTTAACCCTTTGAGTACGACGGTTTAACCCTTTGAGTACGATTGGGTTAACCCGTTTAGGGAGATGGTTTAATCCTTTGAGTACGATGGTTTAACTCTTTAAGACTCTAGTTCCCCAAAGGGTTAAACAACTATAGATCTCAAAGAGTTATAACTACGTCCTTAATAGGTTAAACCAACATCTTTAATGGGTTAAGTCATCATCCTTAATAGGTTAAAAGATATATTCTCAAAGGAGTATGTCATCGTGATCAAAGATGGAATAGTTTCCCCTTAGCCATAAATTGCAGAAAACGAGAAAAAATTAATAGGGGGAGCTATGGTAAATCGTATTAACTGATAGAACGAATTATGATTACACGTTTTCAAGTACATTATTTCACAATTAAATCAGTTTCTCGCTCTCTCTCTCTCTCTCTCACCGTAAAGTTCCTGGGGATGTAGGATTCAGTACATGGATGGTGGGTGCTGTTGAGGAAGTACACAGTGTCGCCCTCTAAGGTGTGGTAAAGGTCCTCCTCGTATTCGTCTAGCTTCATCCTGGGAAAAGTAATGGGATAAACAAATGAATGTCAAGTTCAACCCTGAAATCGTAGCGTAAATTAACCCCCACTGGCTTTTGTCCTAGCAGGGTGTCATAGCACGCACCTATGAACGTTGTGAAGGGGTATGGCGGGAACAGCGGTGACGGGATGGGCGGTGAAGTGGGAGTGGGTCATTACGCCCTTGATGTGGGTCCCCATCATGCCGTTGTGGAAGGTCCGGGACACGTCTGGCACTACACACTCACGCCCCGCCCGGAGGTTAGGACTCCGCAACCATATGTCCCAGTCATGGTTCTGGGGGAGAAGGAAGTGGATAGTGTACAGCTCAGAGAGAGAGAGAGAGAGAGAGAGAGAGAGAGAGAGAGAGAGAGAGAGAGAGAGAGAGAGAGAGAGAGAGAGAGAGACCCTGTACCAGTGTTTGTAGAATAAAATCAAGACATATTATCAAACGCCTATAAGAAACGTCGTGTATATACAGTAGTACCATACACACACACACACACACACACACACACACACAGACACTCTTTATAGCGTCTTAGTATAAGGTAACTCAACAGATTCCCAACATCATCTGTCACTTCGTATCTCTCTACACCAACAATAACACAAGGAAACCATACCTCTGTTAGTTCTACCTCGCTCTACAATGATTTTGGTGCTCTAGAGACCTAGTTTAGCGTACCAGAGAACCCGACACTTAACCCAATAATTCGGCCAATCTTTAAAACCTTTCCTTAGTGTTCAAGAAACGTAATTATAGACCCAAACCCGGAGAGTGTGAGGAGCATGTATTCCAGAGGACCTTGTAAGGGCTGGGCCAGATCGGGTAAATGAAGTCGAATAGCTCCCTAGTGAGCATCCAGCCGTAGCCCGCGTGTGTCTCTACCCTGTACAGCCTGGAGGGGTGCGTGGCTGTGTGCAGGGCCCCGAGGTCGTTCCAGGCGCTGATGCAGAAGATACTTGGATCAGCCTCCAGCAGCCACGATGTCTGGTTGAAGTAACTGAGGAGGGTGAGGTGAGTGATCATATTTGTTATCTCTCCATTTATTAATGTATCTCTCTCTCATTCTCTCTTTATCTCTAGCTCTCTCTATTTATTTTATCGGTCTACATCTCTATATCTCTCATTTTTCTCTCACGTCTTCCTCTATTTTTTTGTTCTCTTTTCCTCACCTCAGGCAGAAACGCCCTTAAGATCCCATTTACCTGAAGAAGTCCGGTGACACTAACAGGTCCTCCTCCAAGACGATGGCCTTAGAGGCGTTGGGGAAGGAGTTAAACAAGGCGTGGAGGGAGAAGCGATAGTGGTGAGAGATACGAGCACTCCTACTGATGAACGTCCGCCCCTCCATGTTGTTTACCTGATACTTCACCTGATGGCCAAGGCAGGTGAGTGGTGTAATTAGATAATTAAAAAAGAATTGGGATTAAATGTATCAAAACGTAATTGGAGTATTTTAAAGGTGGTGGTATTATTATTATTATTATTATTATTATTATTATTATTATTATTATTATTATTATTACAGTACTAGAGAGTAATAGTGTGAAGGACAATTAACTGTACCCCCAGTAGCTGCAGAAGGGCGATCAGCTCGGTGTTATAACCGTCCAGTAGTACCAATACCCTGCTCACGTCACCTCCCTCCTGCCGTAGCACTGTTACCAGACACCTGTAAGGCACCACACCTCTGTACAACCACACAATGTTGTCAACTTACCACACAATGTTGTCAACTTACCACACAATGTTGTCAGCTTACCACACAATGTTGTCAGCTTACCACACAATGTTGTCAGATTACCACACAGATGATCCAAATAATAATGACAATATTTCAGTAATTTCATCAAGTCCCTGAATGAAACAGTAATTACCTGAACTTAATGAAATTTTACAGGTGTTGACAGATAGACAGACAGACAGAAAAACAGAAGAACAAGTTACCTGTACAGCTCCTGAGGTCTGGAGCTGGCTACTATGACCACGGGGACGTTATCGATAACAGTGTTCTCCAGCTGAACACAAGAACACACATGAAGAACACTTTTAGTAGGTTTAGAATGATGATGAACTAAAGTAACATTTTAATATATATATATATATATATATATATATATATATATATATATATATATATATATATATATATATATATATATATATAAAGAGTCGAAACTTATTAGGTACACTTTTTATTGGATTCAACAGGTATTGGGAAAATCTTGGCATAGGATCAGAGGTAATTGGATCGTTTTAAAATATGATCAAAACTTAATAAGTGTGTTAAAATAGGGTTAAACATCAGTGGGTATAGTAAAATAGTCATTAACATAATTTAACAACCCTTTAAGGTAAAGTACGTGTGCTGTTAATAAAACCAAATAATATATTAACTTTTTCGTAATAAAAATCTATAAACATATACAGTAACATGATTAACGGGACCTGGTGGGGGTGGTAGGTGAGAGGCGCCGGGTGTTGACAGTGGCATAGATCACCATAGCCATCGTGACTCCTACAGAAAACTGCTCTCTCTCTCTCCCCCCAGCAGTCACCTGGCCAGGGAGGAAGTATGTGAAGTATAAACATTGTTAGCATTTAGGATGAATACATGAGATCGTATGTATATAGTAGGGGATTAGATGAAGATTAACACCTCAGTTTATTTCACTTACCTGATGATTAGAGTGGTTAATGTTAAATAAGCTGGGGGGGGATTATTATCACAGCAAGATGCAAATTCTCAAAGATTCTTACGTAAGGGTGAATATATCTGAGTCATGTACTGTGCCACACAAACAAATCCACCAGAAGCGATGTAGCGAGGGAAAGTTAACCTCACGAACCAATCAAAATGTGGGCTTAAACCCTTAGTAAATAATCCGTCAAACAGTCCCTCACCTTCAATAACTAGAGGTACTGTCACCTCAAGGTAGACGGGGGAAGCGAAGATGTTGCTCTGTACCTTTACGGGGCCGTCTCTCCTTCCCTCATTTGTCCAAGTCTCCAGGTTGTCGACATCTTCATTTTCTGTGGTTATCTCATACGGGTCGACGTTCCCTTCACCCAAGGTAGGCCCTCGGGAGGTGAGAACCCAGGCTAAGTAACTCCTGAAGTGTAAATGGTGAGCCCAGCGTGATCCAAATTCCTGTAGCAGTTGTCGTACTCCTTGAGGCATGTTGAGCCCAGCATCCAGCTGGCAGGGGGCAGCAGAAGACACGTGCATTTAAGCTCTTGAACACAGCCAGAGAGACAGAGAGAGAATTTGAGCTTCGTTAACATATAGCATATTACATACACATTCTGAACTTCCTCGTCTTATCGTAAAGCTACGTAATCTAGCTCAACCTAGGTTGTTAGATTAGCTTGAGTTAAGTTGGGTTGGGTTGGGTCGGGTTAGGGTGGGATGGGGTCTGTGACTAGGCCCTGTCTGATCAGTCACTAAAGCAAGGCACAGACAGCACCAGTACAGCGCCCTACCTTGACAGCCAACACCATGATCCTCCCGCTGGAGAGGGACGTGAAGAGTGAAGGAACACCCACGTTGTACGCGTACTCGTGAAAGTTGAACACCCTGTACAGTGTTCAGAGCGTTAGTAAACATCCTGTACAATATTTAGAGCGTTGAAATCCCTTGTATAATGTTCAGAATGTTAATGGACACCAGTGTAGTGAACTGTGAAGTCCTGTAGGAAGGAAAGAGTCCCACTGCAATTACAAGACATGTTCATTATAACACCTCTGACATAACAATAACAGTGTTGTCACCGGTTCATTACATCACTAAGGTAAGGATAACAGCATATAACATTCAGGGGCATGTCTCACTTGTTCATTATAACAGATCCATCGTACTGGTTCAAGAGAACAAAGTATAGCCCAGCTTTCTCCATCAGCTCAGTGTCGTTCACATCCACTACCTGGGAGATAGTAATGAGTTTTCCAGGGTCAAACTAAATCACTCATTGACTATCACTACATTATTATACCCAACTGTAAAACTAACTGGCACATCAGACTGTCATAATCAAGGAAGATGACTGGATTAAGCAACAATGTATCAAAATATATCACAAGACACATATACATACCGTTCGACCATCGACAGCTATGAATACTCTACTTCGACTGGATATGACTGTGATATTAATAGTCCCTCTTCCTGTCTGACTTTCTTGACTGGAGGAGGAAGAGGAAGAGTTGCCGAGGAGGTTATCTTGCGTCGAGGTTGGCAGTTGTCTCTCCTCCTTCCGCTCCTGAGGTATCGCTCCATTTACTGTTGTAGATATTATTGTTTACTGTAAGTATTTAAAGTCTGTCGGTCTGTCTATCTCTGTCTGTATGTCTCTTTGTCTGTCTATTTCTCTCACTCTCAGTAAATCTATGAGTGAATGACAGAAACACACAGGTGGTTGAGTTACCTAAGATATGCAGCAATGTAAAGCAGCACACTCCCAGCCGACCAGTCATCTGTGCACAGGGAAAAGAGTGTTTTAGTAGTGACGTACATACATACATAGAGTATATAAAATTAAAACTTTGCGATTCACAAGAAGGCATTGTGGCCGACAAGTATTTCATAGAATTATCCAAATGTATATGGATAAAATTGTACCTACTTACCACCGTGTACCTGCCACTGTGTACCTGCCACCGTGTACCTGCCACTGTGTACCTGCCACCGTGTACCTGCCACTGTGTACCTGCCACCGTGTACCTGCCACTGTGTACCTGCCACCGTGTACCTGCCACTGTGTACCTGCCACTGTGTACTGCGATCAACCTGGCGGTTTTTTTTTTTTAATGAGAGCGACGTAACTCTGCCAGTTAAAAGATGTTGATCTGTCGGTAGGAACACAAAGTGGTGAATACCCCTTTAGTCACTAAATATAGGATCTGAAGCCACATGTTCTTAATTTCTAAAAAGAAAACAAAATATCGCACCTGAAATATTGGATCTGAAGCCTTCTTGAGTTCTAAAATTTCGTGCCTGAAGTCATGTGCCACGTTGCGACTCTTGTACACTATAAAAAAAAGTCACTACTGCCTCCACCTACACCACAGACCACTGCCTTATAAACTGCGATTATTAATACAGTTGAATTATGAGTTACTGGGGAGATTTTGAGAACAGAATGTGGGACCTGAACAACTCAATGAACAATGCAAGAACTCTGGAGGATAACTGAACATTGGAAGTGAGTAACAGTCAGGCATCACCTAGTAGGAAAAAATAGGATAAAATCAATGCTTATTTATTGTTATCATTATTTAGAACAGAGTATACTATTTGGTATTTAATAAGCAGTTTATGATGTTCTGTGTGTGTGTGATATGTCAACAAGAAGGAAAGATTCACCCATGATTACATTATCGGCGCCATTAGGAGTTTACTCTTACGTCTGGCACAACTCTTACAACTGTAGTATTGAATTACCCTGTATTAAAAAACAATTGAGTCGGAACGCAGGTTGTGAAAGGTTGCTATTTGTTGTAAAATATTAATTTATAGACCCAGAATAGCCATAGCTAATATTAATATCCTAAAAGTATGATAAACATTAGGTTTTATTAGTTGGAAACATTGCTTTGTTGTCCCCGACATTATTTGGAGTACAAGAGTTATATATCTCTCCTAAGTGTAATTACTAACCTAGAATATGCACTTAAAGACCTTAAAATGCAGCAATACATTCTTATAACATCAAAGACCCTTCTACTACTGATATTTGTATGAGGACGATTTATTTCCGTTTACCCATACTATATTCACTTGTACAAAATCAATCTTAATTTTGAAATAATTATAAGTAAAGGATAAAGCATATTGTTACTGATGAGATAAACAACAGAATTGAGCAAAGTGGAGCTATTATAGCCTTGTGAATGCTAGTCAACAACAACAAAAACTGATGTCTGAGGAGTCTGCCACTTACGTTTGAAAACCAAGACATCTCTGACGTAACTGCTATGACCTGTGGGAATTCCAATGATTATTACAAGTGTTGTAGAAGTCCTGGCTCATTATTACAGGTGTTGTAAGAATCCTGGCTCATTACAAGTGTAGTAGGTAGTAAGCAGCTATCAAACGGGGAGGTACTATCGCCTAGGAAGATATTGGAAGCATAATGTGTTGTCTAATGGTAGACCCTGCTGCCATATGGCATCACAAAAATTGTGACCAAGTCCCAGGTTACTGACCTGACTTTCTGCCTCACTTACACACAATTACAGGGTCTCAATTGTTTCTCTAACTATTGACAACACATAGTGTGTATCGTTTCTCACTCGATCTTTTTTTTTTCATTTTGATATGTAAGCTTATTTCCATTAGCAAATCTGACCAGAAATATTAAAAAGAAACTGCCAGTGGTGTTTGTACAATGTCTTGATGCCAGGCTTGAACATAAAAAGTCGATCATGGCCTCTCTATCTGTTGGTGTTCCAGCAAAATTAAAGGAATATATAATTGAACTCATTGTGATCGTAGCAGGAACAAACCACTAAGTGATGCCATGATTAGAACACTTAATTGTCTCTACCAACGATCTTAAGAAAATTAGGATAATTGCTGGTATGATAACACACATACACAGGAATGGTGGATGATTCATTGTGTGAGTCAGGTCATAAATGTTGTTTATACTTTTTTTTCCACTTTCAGGTGTTGTAGAGTACAGTACTGTATTTCTCTTAGCTGGAGCAGTTGTCACCTTCTGAACTATGCTGACAACCTCAGTGGACGTGTCAGGTCCAGCGGTGTCGGCACAAGCGTGAAAGTAACAAGTTACCTTTTCTACTTTACTTACTTTTATCCTCTTCACCACTGATCGGCCCGTTAGCTGCTTGGGCGATCGATCACGTCTCTGTTACGCACTGTTGGCAAGTACTGGGCATGCACCGGCTCCTGAATGTACCTGAACCTGCTCTAGTGTTGGTCAGCTTCCAGAAAAGTGAACAATGTTGTGCTATTTTGCTCATCCCAGTGTCAGAACCGTAAGATATTCTTAATAAACATTTTATGACAGTGAATTAAAGGTGAATGAACACCAAGTGATGTCAAGAGATACAACTGTAAAAGACAGGTCACCAAATACTACTTCCCTCACAGTTTGTCCGACTGTCTTATTTACAAATATCTTTTATCTGTCAGCCTTACTTTATTCCCAGTTAACTCAGATGAACATTTTAATTTAAAACATTTGTTTTACTTATCTCTTTCATGTTAACTGTGTATAATAAAATAAGTCAAATATTTCATATTTTATAATGTATATAAACTAGATGTAGTTACCACACCTAGAGAATGATTGGTTTGCACAGTTGATGTGCTATACCCCCCCCCCCACCACCAAAGTACTGTACCAATACAGTACTCCATAAATTCTTTGAACATTAACACACGTAATAAAACTCCAAAAACACTTTCAGCATTTTAATTAGGTACAGGTACTTCATATTTAGTTCTGACACAACATTATACAGTACACTATACAGTATATACAGTATGTCGACAAACACTATAACATACAATTATGTTTCTACTTTATTTTCCTCACTCAAAGACTTTTGGAAAGTTTCTTTAACACCCTTGACAATATTTTCCTTATCACTTAATTTTCTCTTCTCAGCTTCTACCAAGTCCTCTAAATCTGCCAGCGGGTGGTAGTAAATGTGAACAATTTGTGCTCCGGCCATCATTGACAACATGGCCACACAGCTGTAACGGAGATAAACACCCCACGTCACTCCTGCCGGCATTTTACAAATTTCTTTTTCTGCTTGATCTATGTCAACAAATAACTGGGGGTATTATTCTTCCCGAGAACAATGTCTTGCTGCTGTAATGATGGAGAGGTCTGTGTCTATTAATATCTTATAAATAATATTAAACCTTAAGCCGATAGTTTTTCCTCTTCCAGTTCCTGAAGAGCGAGTTCCCTGGCTTGTCGTCTTTTGTATGTACGATCTGTGGACAAAATCCTATACAGTAGTTGTACTTCATTGTGCTGTCACTTTAATCTTCATATTTCTAAGGGAGTACACTATCAACTTACGTTAACTCTTGAATTCACTTAATGGCAGTTCAGGTTTGCACTGGAGGTTTCTGCCAAAGTTAAGCATCCATTTAACTCCCTTGATGTGAGTGTCTCCCTCAGTTACTCTCTCTACCTACTATGTATTTAACTCTTCCTCCATAATATAAGTTTATACATATGCAATATTATCCTAATTATTTAAGATATTCCATAGTATTTCCCAATTATTTCTTTCATTAACCCTTTGAGGATGATGGTTTAACCTTTTTGAAGACTATGATTTACCGTAACCCTTTGAGGACAATGATTTAACCCTTTAATGATGATTTATCCCTTTGAGGAAGATGGTTTAACCCTTTGAGGGCAATAATATAACCATTTGAGAACAATGATTTAACCCTTTGAGGACTTAGATTAAACCCTCTCTTCTTCATAGAGTTATAGGCCACCACAAATGACCTTGTTATTGGGGTTGGCATTTTTACTTTCTTCTAATACCCATTCAAAATAAAAATGCATCACTGCTTTTGTAGAGAGTTACAAAGTGTATTTGCCTCACCCTAACTCTCAGATACTCACAGAAATTCACTTCTCCAACTTTCCAGTTTATCATAGAAAACTCCAGCGCTGCTCCCAAGACAAAGAAGAGCGGCAGGAACCTATACATGCCCAGCGTGTGCTTCCCAGGCCACTTGTCCAGCAGTTTATGCAAGTTTCTATTGTATCCCTTCAATGCCATGCCTGAAAACAATTGAAACAGCATTTTAGTCAAAGGTTTCTTGCTTATGACAAGGGTATAAGATAATAATTGTGACTATCATGAGGACATACCAACTGCTGTTCTGTCATAGATAATTATAACAAGATAGCTGAATGAAAATTACAATGTACAATAACTCTATGGACTAGTCATAATTATAAAAAAAATGTATGAACAAACTAAAAAAACAGATAGTTTTTGATATTAATTCTGTAAACATATTGTACCGGTAGAACAAAAAACATTGGTTGTGACCTTGATAACACCATGGGTTAGGTTAGCTGTACAGTATTAAGTTTCAATATATTCTAGCCTTCTGAGGTACATAAAAAATTTGGTGGTTGGTCGAAACTACAAACTGACCCAAAAATGATGTCTCTACATGTTTTATATATGAAGAAATTAATAGTTAACCATAAATATTCCTCAGAAAAATCTGCCATTGTCAGCACGTGTTGTCATCTGCAATTTGTTCCGTGCAAGAAACAACCCACTCGATGGTGCTTCAAGATAGTTGCTTTCCTTGGTGCCAGATATCAAAGTAAGTACTTTCTGTTTATTATGGCAGGGGGTCTGGGCAATTAGGAAGTTAGGTAAGGTTAGGTAGGTTTCTTTAGTTGGTTAGGTCAGGTTCTGTGCATCATGATATCGTTTTTAATACTTACCATCATCCAAAGAACATCTGTGGAAAAAATTAACAAATTTGAACAACTCATTCTGGTGTTAATCATCTGCTCCAGGTTTACCAACTTTTCTTCACAAGAAGTTACAATACTGTACAGTAATTTTGCCTTGTTTTATCTGACAATTTCACTCTCTGAAACACTGACCACCAGTACCTCAAAAAGACATCAATTAAAAAAAAGTTTACTGCATTTTGAGGAATATAAGCCGCATTATTACCCCATTATCCAAATATCATCTCTGGAAAAAATAAGGTATTATTGCGTTTACACACCGTTCATTCCTACCACTAATCTATTATCATATTCGAATAAGACGTCTAATTATAAGATAATTTTCATCTATTACATTACCGGCGGAAATGTATAATAACGGAGATAGCTCTTCCAAAATGTTCTCTATTTTCTTCCATTAATCTTCGGCCATTATCACCTGCCTCTCCTCCAACACTGCGTGTCTCCTGCGTCTCCTTCATAAATCATCACGCACATGCGTTCCCGTACACGTCACGCAGCCAATCAAAAGCGTTTTTGTTTATGCAACCAATTAAAATGATTTTGGGTTTAATTCACAGTATATTTGGCCCAATCAAATTAGAGGTTTATTTTGGGTCTCTCATATTTCGAAATTCAAGTTCAATTCCGACCATGGAAGTCTGTGATGGGTGTCACTTAAATTATATGGAGCTGATTGCGAGTTTTTTGGGAAAAAACGAAGAAACTATAGCATTTTTTCGATCGCATGGTGTTCTTCCAACCTCAGTAAAGTGTACTAAGAGCAAGACTGAATGTAAATATCGCAAAGACCAACATATGTGGCGTTGTGTAAGAACCTCAGAATCCAACGACGAACAAGAACCAGGCCAATAAGGTAACAAATAGGTGATTCCATTATATGGTGAGAGTCAGTTCGGTTAGGTTAGGTTTGGTTTTTGGTTTTTAAGTGTTTTTTGGTGTGTTTTGCCATGATTTTATTTTTGGAAAACGTCCAATGAAAAAAATTCGAAAAAAACAGCTAATTTCCGCCAGAAATGAAGGTCATGTTCGATCTAAACACACACAAATACACTAGAAAAATATACTTTTGACTTTCTAACAGAGAACGGTTGACAATGCAAATTTACCAAAAATAACATTCTATAAACTCCTTCTGGTGATAATCGTCTCCTCCACTTTAACTAGAAAATACTTCTTCACAGAGGCTGACAGACCTATGGACCCGTCTACCAGCATAGGTAGTACTGGGGTTCAGAAGTGCCCTGGACAAAACTATCAGAACCAATGTAAGAATTCCAAGGTAAACGTGAATCCACCAGAGGCCCTTGGCTTCCTTACCCTATGTTGGCCACCTCTGGCTACTAATTAAATCTTTTAAATTTCCTCGTGTTGATGGTTAAGGCGCGCAACCAAAGGAAAGTATTACTGTACCTCTTTTGTATTGAGAAACTCTTTACCTTAATTGTGTACTGTACAATAGTTTATCTTCACAAAGAACCTTTTATTTAACAATCCATCCAAGTATATTGACTATTACACCTGTACAAAGGACACCATCACTAACCTGCTGAGTTAATACCACGCACTCCACCATGGTGAGCATATAAACACTGTCTGGAGGATCAGCTGTTCCGTGACTCTCTCGAGGATGATGATCAGTCAGCTGTTCCTTAAATCCGTCTCAAGTATAACTTAAACCATTAATGCTCCTAACTTTTCTAGTATAATTACAGACATAGTATCATTTATTTATACGATAGGAAAGTTTTTATTTATATTTAATATTTATTCAATAGTATAAAGAATTGGTTATGAAATTATACCCGGCTACTGGTGAGTTCAGGAGGGATGGTGCTGATAAAACACCTTTGGAAAATATTGACACAGTCCACTGTAAACATTTATTTTATTATATTTCGTTAATACATATAGATTGGAATTTTAGTAATCTTACTATAATTATGACAAAAATAAAATATACTTATGTTATATCCATTACCAAATAACTAAACATCTTCTATAACGGGTCCTAAAATTTAAGGACAAACTAAAGTGTTTTCCGCCAGTTAGTTGCGCAGTAAACACATTTTCACCTACTGACATTGTAGATAAGAGAAGCCTCTTGTGAAAGTGTTTTCCTTATTATACACAATGAGCGAGCTTTCCACCATTTAGCATGTGTAGTACTGCACGTCAGTACTAATAATATCAGTTCTCAAAAAGTGTCATTAAGAAAGTTTTTCTCGTATATTTCCACTTAATGTGAGTAGCTAATTCAAAGCTGTATATGTGATTAATTTAAGCTACTGTATATATTGCTAATTCGAGCTTTGTTGCTAATTCAAACTTCATATTTTTTTATTTTACCTTTATCCTCTTCACCACTGACAGGCTCGTTAGCCGTTTGGGCGATCGGTCACGTCTCTGTTACGCACTGTTGGCAAGTACTGGATCCTGAAACAGTTCACAATCGGTGCTGTCACAACACTCTGGCAGATTGTTCCAAGAGTTCACGACTCTCACTCTAAAAAGGTTTGCTCTCTCAGTTTTCTTGACTAGTGGCTTCATCAACCTTGAGCTGTGACTCCTTGTGGGGCGAGCGTCCGCCAGCTCCAGCTCTTAATAGCATTCATATCTACAAGCGTTCATTTTCATTGCCGTTTATTTTCACTGGCGTTCACCCTTACTGGTGTTCATCTTTACTGGCGTTCACCCTCAGTGACGGGGCCATCGTCTGTGAAAGCGCCCCCCCCCTAAAAAAAGGGTGTCTCTCTGGCAGGCTGGTACTCAATTTAGTCCATGACTCAGGTCAGGGTTGAGTTTTATTATTAATATTATTATTTTTTAATTATGACATCTCTTACACTTTGTAATTATTTGATTTTATTTCCATTAAAGTATTAAAGCAACAATTTACAAATAAGGTTCATAAACATTATTGTACATACATTTTACACACAATTAAATGTTCGTCTTCCTAACTTTGGCTAGGCTAAATTTCTAATCATACTTTGTGTCCAAGAAGTTCAACAGCTCATGTTCAATCGAAAATAGGCTCAACTTGATCAGTCTGTCTTGGCAGATAGAGTTTCTCAGGTCGTTTTTGATTCGTTTCAATTTTGAGAATGACCTTTCACCTGCACAATTTGTGCACAGCGCAAAGATATATTTTGAGTAGAATGTTCACATAAACGAAATTATCTACCGTGGGTTGAATGAAAGTGAACATGAACAGCTCTCGGTTATGATCCTTGTTAGATTCATCAAGGCAAAATATCTGGATTTCAAAGGAGTCCAGACAGTTGAACCATCTCATCAGTGAGTGACACTTCACCTTTTTCAGGATAAGCCTCCACCAAATTGGTTGCTGCTTTGCTTATATCAGCACTTGACAGATTAGCTAAATCTAACAACAACAAAAACTTGCTGCACAGCTCTTCGTAAGTCTGTGACCTTTGAAAATCACTGACAAGGTTGTCCATGTTGCCAATTCAAGCTTTATGTTGCTAATTCGTGCTTTTTGATGCTATTTCAAGCTAATGTTCCTTGTTTATCACCCACAAAATCCTTAATATTTAACTGAAGACGATTTGACATTCAGTGGTACAGGTAATAAACTCATAGGCAGCACTGTCTATTTCAGGACTAGACTTGACCAACACTGGAGGAGGTTCAGATATATTCAGGAGCCAGTGCATGTAAGATCTTGCCAACAGTACAGTATGTAATAGAGACGTAACCGACCGCCCAAGCGGCTAACGAGGCGATCAGTGGTGAAGAGGATAAAAGTAACCAAATAAAAGTAACGCAATAGTTTATATTTCCTATTAAGTGATACGGTATTAATACTGCATGTGAAAAAAAAACTTTAACACAGGAAAAGATCGAGTCATATAGATATCTGCTACGAATTTATCATAAAAATATATAAAAATGTATAGCAATTTGAGATGGGATTCTTGCCCAGTGTTTTACTCTGTCGGTGGAATTTTGTTTAATGTTTTACTGTAGCGGTGGGATTTCGTCCATGTTTTACGCTATTGATGGGGCGAGTCCGATGCATTCATCCCGAGGAACGTCTTAAGTTCAACATGTAAGGCATTGACTTGAGTCTTGATAATTTTCAGGTGTTCCTACAATCTCTGCTGATGGTCGACTCTCTCGCTCTCCCTCACTATGAAAGGGAGATCCTAAGGGCGTGAATGGTGAAAGGGGCGAGGGAGAGACGGACAGAGGCCACGCCGTCAGCCTGGGTGAAGGGAAGGTCCTCCCCGGCCACCTCCAGCCCGTCACACACCTTCACTGACGACACATCCCACGACAACGTGAGCCTGGAGGACACAACACACAGATACAAACACTGGACTCCGATGATTTAATTCAGTACTGTTTATATTTAATACTCAAGTACCTCTACAAATTATATTGAATAAAGTTAATAGCATGAGAGAGAGAATAAGACCCCAAGACTCACGTGACGGTGGTCTTGGCAGCGTTACATTCGTAGAGGCGGAGGACTAGGTCGCCCGAGCCGTCTTCTGCTGGCTTGATGGTGTGGAGTACCGCGCCTGACCCGTTCATGCTGACGGCTGACCATTCACTCCTGGGAGACGAGCACAGTAGTAGTGACACAATGGCATAGAAGGAGCATTGGAATATTGGTAGTCAGGTAGTGGTTAGGGTTACAGTGGTCGAGGTGTATAATGGTACAGTCCCAAAACTTCTCAGTGAAACAAACGCTACAAAAACAATTAACATTACAGTCAACGCGTACCAGAAAGATTGACTCAAGACAACTCACTTATCTATCGGCACCTGCAGGAGGGAGAGTGGGTTGTTGAACTCGTAAGCCCTGCGCACCACCTCAGCCTCTTGCAGCGTACCTGATGGTGGAGGAACCTCATTATTTCTTCCAAGATCTGTTCTGTACAGATGTTATTAGTTCAAGGTTAAATGGTAGATAGTACAAAGGTTCAATGTTATACACTGCAGTAGGGTGTGTGGGTGTAATGAGGGGCGGAGGTGTTTGACTTACCTGTGTGGGGCATGATGGCATACTTGAAGGCATGGTCTTTCATATCAGCGGTGTCGTCAGGAGCCTTGGGTGATCGGAGGAGGGAGAGGGTGAGTTGGTGACCCCTGGCCATCCACCCATACTTGCTGTCGTTGAGCACTGCCACTCCCCAGTCTGGCTCTGATATGTCAGCCCACCTGTGCACAAACACACAAATGTATATACAGTCATGTTTAGGTATTGACAAACCAGTATACACACACATACATGCATCATAAGATTAACTACTTTAACCTAACCTAACCTACCAGGTATAGAGTTAGGGTGTTTAATCATCAGGTGTATTAAGTTGAAGGGGCCTAATACTCAGTCAGTGATTCCCACTTTTCTTGTGTCACTGGAAGACTTACTTGTGTCCGCAAACCTCATATCGGGCAGTGTCCCACGAGGTGTTCATGTGGGTGGCTCTCTCCAAGTGGCCGAACTGGACGTCAAAGCTTGCCCGACGTGCGTGGATATTGGCGTCAAACAGCACCTTAAGGAACTTCCTGTCCTCGCCCCAGGTGACGGAGGAGGCACAGGTGAGGTAGGGGGAGGTGGCGGAGAGCTCGATGTCCTGGGTGAAGGTGGAGGAGGCGCTAATGGTGACCCCCCAGCGTAGTTTTACCAACAGAGGGCCTGACTCCACCACCGTCACGGGCGTCACAGAGTACCCAGACTGTGGGCGTGGTTGTGTTGGCGTCACTCGGGTAACTTTCACTTAATATTGAGTTACGTTTTAACATCTTATTATATTCTACCAAAGTTAATATTTCCTAGTAATAATGTTATTAACGTAATACATTGACCTGCTTCTTGTGATACTGATAACACTAACGAGAATATTTACCAATAACTACAACTCTACTAACGTTAGTGTGTGTTAGTAACGCTGTGATCCGGTGTTACTTTCTTACACTTGCCAATGGCATTTTACCTCTGTTAAGGCTACTTTAGAACTCGATCGACATGTTACTCATGTTTTCTTCCATTGGTGTCGCCAGTAACAGTAACGCTCACCAGTAACAGTGTCACAACTCACCCCTTCAACGTTCAGTACTGTAGGAGTCTCCAGGTGGTAGTCCATCACGTCCCAGGCATCCCAGTAGATGGGCTCGTCGTCGTACAGCACCAGCTGGTTCCCCCCCAGCTGGGTGCCGTCTGCCCTGCGGAAGACGTCCCTGTCGTCTCCGGCGACCACCAGGCTGATGACCTGACCCCAGGCGTTGACCTCCGCCCTCACCACACCGTTGTCCACCACGAACACCCCGTCCACCTCCTCTGCACCACACAACACATCTCCCTTATTGATCTGTTTATCTATTAATATATAATTGCATAAACTGACACAAACTACCAATAACTTGTTCATCAGACTGCGACATAAGCAGTACAGTAGTGTCCATATGGAACCTTAGCCTGGAGTGACTCTCTATTATGGCAAGAGGGATGAGGGTTGGGTCACTTACCCACAGTGACGGTGTTGGGGGGCGTCACGGGCTTGGCAGGGGCGCTACCCATGGGCGGCACCTCGACAAGGGCGTACTGTTGGCCCTCCTTCACCCTCTGGTCTGCTCCTCCTTCCTGGTGTTGGGCGGCCGTCAGCTTGACCACCTCAGTTCGGGGCCACTGTAGAGTGTTCACCGCCACCTCCGTCTTCTCCCCATCGCTACCTACAACACGAGGACACAGATCAACGTCAAGAGTGACACGACCACTCCGTCACCCCCATCCTCATAGATTCATACGTTCAATTGTCCTCATAATTAGAGATCTAAGGCTTAGCTGGATGACAAACTAAATTACAACATTAAAGTCTAGAACGACAACAAGTGTACACTGAGAGACTTACCTAACTGAAAACACTAACAGACACCAGTTATGAGACAAAATAATTCATTGAATAGAATCTGTGTAAGGCCTGAGACAGACCTACAACACCGCCAAGGAATTCCTCACCGAACACGACGTCCTTGGCGTTGTTCCAGACAGTGAGGGCGGCGACGATGGCCTCCTGGTATAGTCGCTCCGCCTCAGGGTAGATGATCTCGATGCCTGAGCCTGGGATGACGTCATGGAACTGATTGAGCATCACCTTCTTCCACGCCTCCTCCAGTGCCTCCTGACTCCTGTGACACCATCAGACCTTACTGTATACTAGCTCTAGCAAAAATTATCAACAGCGTTCGGTGTTCTTCCTCACCCAGCTTACAGAAGACATACCAGACCCTCTCTGCTGGCGTCCTAACTAACCTAACCTAACTTATTTCAGAAAACATACGTATGAACCCCCCCAGTGTTTACCCAAACTCTACTGCCATGGTACCAAACACCGGTCACTGAACCCTCATAAAGCCTCAGAGTGAGTTTTATGCTTTGTGTTGAAACAGTCTTCCCAGAGCTTCACTATCTCGACTTACTGACTCACTCAAAGGCTTCGTCCCCTTCCTCAGTGTTACTAAAGGTGTCAGATATGTGTTAAGTGATCACATGAAAACACACTTACAAGGAAGCCAAATAAATAAAATAGAAGACATGAAGCAGATTGATAAATGAGTATATAAATAGATAAACTAGAAGAGAGAACGTGTGAACTGATATGGAGAACAAAAAAAAACTTGACTTTTGCTGAATATATAAACACAGTATGTAGATTACAACACTATTAAAGACAATTACATGACACTATTAACCCTAACACTTACTGCTGCAGAAGGTCCTTAGCACCATCAGGACCCAGGATGGTGATGGCCTGCGACAGGAGGAACTCAGCATCACGTAGCTTGAACTCTGCCAGTCGACACAGCCTCTTCATGTCCGCCTGGGTGGTGTAGGTGCCGTTGTGTCGCTCCAGGTACAGCTCACCCACCCACCGACAGAGGTTGTGTTTATCTGCCTCCAGCCGACCGAAGAATTGATCTGGAGTCATGATCTTTAACCTGGAAGAGATGGAGGTTTGATCTGTGTGTGGCAGAGAGAGAGAGAGAGAGAGAGAGAATATACCACACCACCAATTAAAAACTCGTCGTGAAATCCACTGTCCCTCTTCAATAAGCCAGACACACCTCTCTTAACCCTACCTGGGGCATCCGTCGGTATCTGCGAGGCGCCGAACTCTCTCTAACATGTCCTGAGTGGGTCCGCCTCCCCCGTCACCATAGCCGAAGAGGAAGGCGGAGGTGCTTGCCCTTCCCTTGTCCTCCAGGTTCTTGACGGAGTGTAAGGCCTCACTCACCCTGGACAAGTGGACATGGTTAACTCTTAGGACACATAGGGTTCTCTCCTCTTCCTCCTTCACGCTGGGACACGCACACAGTCGATCACTAAATATCTATCTTTACACAAGCCTATTTATCCCATAGTAAACATACAGTGGGGATATACAGGGTGTGGTAGGGATATATAGGGTGTGGTAGGGATATATAGGGTGTGGTAGGGATATACAGGGTGTGGTAGGGAGATACAGGGTGTGGTAGGGAGATACAGGGTGTGGTAGGGAGATACAGGGTGTGGTAGGGAGATACAGGGTGTGGTAGGGAGATACAGGGTGTGGTAGGGAGATACAGGGTGTGGTAGGGAGATACAGGGTGTGGTAGATGATACACACTTAACGTTCATACTGTAGGAGTCACCGGGCGGGAAGTGGGCCAGGACTGTGGTGCCATCAATGCCCTCCCAGACGAAACTATGGTTGGGGAACTTGTTGACGGTGTTCCAGCTCAACTTCTGCGTCAGGAACCTCTCCAAGCCTACGTGCTGTGACCCAATCCAGAATGAGGAACACAACATTAGTTACTGGTGACGTGACTGACCGCCCAAGCCACTAATAAGCCGATCAGTGGCGAAGATAAAAAGATTTGTTTTTTCTTTATCTCTCTTTTTATAACTCTCTTTTTCTTTCTCTCTCTCACTACACCTCACTAACCTTCATCAACGCAGGGATCTGGGCGGAGTAGCCGAAGGTATCCGGTAGCCAGAACTCCTTACAAGTAAACCCAAGCTCTTGCTGGTAGAACTTCTGTCCGTGGAGGAACTGCCTGACGAAGGACTCACCGCTGGGGATGTTACCGTCCATCTCTACCCAGGTGCCGCCCACAGGAATGAACTTACCCTCCGTCACCTTGGTCTTGATTCTCTGGAACAGTTCTGGGTAGTACTGTTTACACCACGCCCACTGCTGTGCCTGCGGGAGGAGGTTGCGGGCGTCGTCAGTATTAACTTTGTCTGGAACTGAGCTGGAATAACTTGATTTAACTAACACAGCCTTTATGATCCTAACTTAACCTTGATCTAAATTTGACGAAAAATGAACTTGGCCTTAATTAAAGTAACCTAACGTGCTTAACTCTGTCTCTCACCTGGGAGGCCACAAAGATATGCTCTGGGTAGTCCTCCATAATCTTGAGCTGAGACGAGAAGCTCCTGGCCACTTTCCTCTTGGTCTCAGAGAATGGCCACAGCCAGGCCGAGTCTATGTGGCAGTTACCGATGGTGGCCAAGGTGTGGGCTCGACCCCCATTACCCTTGGCGAAGTACTGGTCAGCCAAGTCACTAGCCCCGCTGTGTAGTGTAAACAAACCACAGGGGATACGGTCTAAGAAATACAATCAATGTTGAACGAAGTACTGCGCCACAAACTGGATAACTAAACAATATACTAATTAATTTGTTTCTATCTTTAAAACATAACGACTCGAGTCAACCAAACCTAAAGTAATCCAATTAAAAACAACGTAGGTTCGCTAGGATAGTTTTCCATTTGGTGAGGTTTGATTTATATCGTCGTTTAGTCAAGGGTCTTGTTCTCTCGCTCACCTATCGTCACCCTTGATGATAGAGTTGACCATCTGGTTGGCTGTGTACATGGCCTGGTAGCCTCTCTGGTCTGGTATCAGCTCATCGGCCAGTTGATAGATCACCTCCAGGTCTCGGGTCAGCTTGTACACCTGCGAATCCAACCTTACCACCTCCGCCCGAGTTAGCTTGAAGAACAGGTTCGGGTCTGGCGGGTCTGTGGACATAGGGTGGTGGTCAAGGAGGGACTGTGGACATAGGGAGGTGGTCTGGGGACATAAGGGTTAATGTATGGAAACGATTATCTGGATATGAATGCATTTCAACCCTCTCCCTCTTTCACTTACCCACTCCCTCTCTCTGCCACTCTCTTCTCTTTCATTCACTGAACCACTTTCATTCCCTCAGACATTCTCTCTCGTTCTCACCTACCCACTGCCCTTCTCTCTCTCTCTCTCTCTCTCTCTTTCTCTCACTCACTCACCTATGAGGTCGCCAGGGGAGGCACCCAGGAGCTTGTTGGCGGCCATCTCGATATAGTAGGTGAAGGGGGATGACCCAGCCACATAGTTCCTGGTGATAGTGTAGTCGGTCCTCAGAGATCCCTCATCCCCCGTAGACAACCCCTGTAACGCCCCCAACTCACTGTGTTAATGTCATAACAACCACCTTAAACCAGATAGTATCGTGGGTTGATTTATGTGGTAAGGCAGGAGTGCAGGCTGCAATGGACTGCCGATAGCACAGTTTGTTGGATTTCGCCTTTGTAGCATTGTCCATCTTGCATTGCAGTGGTAGGCAGCCCCCATATCATTACCCACCTCTCCCAGAAAAAAAAATAATCAACAAAATATCTCTATTTTCTTTTTAGATTTTGTGTATTTTTTTCCGGCATCACAAAAACCTTTTCAGATTTTTTTTACACTTGGGTATTACAGCATTTTGAATATTTATTAATTTTTAAAGACCGTTTAAATACGTTTGAAAATATTAAATCACCAGAAGATCAGGTGTTTTGACTTATATTTTCACCTGATACATAAATACACGATACCGCCTATAAACCTATTTTATCCCAATATAATATTTTTACCGCGTCAGATATAATATTAGGATAAGCCAAGCCTATAATTCGGGTAATCTCACTTATGGTTGTCAGGTAATATCCCCAGAAAGGTGTACCACCATGGTAATGTATTCATTGGAGGGGAGGAGCGTTAAGTTAGATCGTGTACCATTTTAATATTATTTTCTTTAATCCTAAGCACTGGAAGTGTTTGCTATTAACCAAAAACTATATATTACTTTTTTTTTGTTAGAGAGCTTGACAAAACTGATTTATGCTTTGTTATTAAATATAAATAAGTACAACATTCATTCTAATTTAATTTATATATTAATATGGCTTTATTTATACTGAATACAGCATTTTTAAAGTGTTAGTGCTTAGTTTCTCATTTCCATAGAAATCGTTGTAACACTGGTAAATATTTCAACCATGACATAAAATACTTATAAAAAATATTCTGGAAAACTAACAACTTATTTTCTTATATTAATTGCGGCATAATACACGTAGGGGTTAATATTGACGACTGACCCGGATATGAGTTTGGATATGATAATCATTTCTTGGGTATATGCTTAGTTTTGTAGATAATAAGCCCCTAGGATTGCACTAGTAGCACTACTTCGTCTTCGCGGTGATAAAACGGTAAGGCGGCTCAATCCAGCTTGATTTAGTCATCTCCAGTCTGCATAATGCTTGTTTAGAGCCGCTCGGACTTCCTTCACTTCCACACAAAACGTAAAATTACACCATATCATAGTAAGTTCTTTCTGTTTAATATGCCGGGGGGGTCTGGAAAGTTAAGTAAGATTAAGTAGGTTTCTTTGGTTAGATTGGTGTGATCTAACAACGCTTCTGCCGCTAGTGTTTATCAACTAAGATTAGGTTGGGTTTAATTTAGAAATAAGCCTACTTTAACATATTTGTCCAAACTATGAAGAATCGGCGACGGGTTTGTCATCAATAATTACCCACGTAGGTATAGTATCGACATACTGTACAGTTAACAACAGAAAATACTCCAGAGTCAACCTGAAAGACACACATTAGAGTCACCTTCAGCCGAGCACCAAGACCCACCTGAAGTATCCGTCCGTCACTACTCCAAACAGCGGCCTCGGAGTTGGACCCCCACCGAAAACGTACTTCACTACCGGCCCACTCGTCCGGGACAGTGAAGTGGACCTTGAACCAGTGTGTGGTCCATGTGGGGCCAAAGGAGGAGTCTCCCACGGTTACAGGGCTGAAGTTCTGGGCCACCACCTCTTGGAAGGTCCACTCTTGCCAGGCCCCCACGCCCCCAGGGATCGCCCAGTGGGAAATTTCTGCAAGAAGGACATGGAACTGGGTTAGGGACACACACAGGGGACGAGAGAAACTGAGAAATAAAGTTGAAGAAATTAGGACAGACAAGTACAGGGACAGGCAAATAAAACACGTTCATAGACAGACATACTGACCTACAGCCTTGGAGTCCGGGTAGAGACGGTCGATAAGGTTGACCTTCTTGAAGCGGGTGGCGGAATAGTAGTTGTATATCCTGGGCAGTGTTGTGTGCAGGTTCTTGTGGATGCTGGCCTGTACACCCGGGTCAGCCATCTTGGCCTGTAACACGACAATGTAGACGTGTTAAGGCGACGATACACTAGCACGTTTTCCGTCGTTTTTTCCACTAAGTGTCAGTTTTTGTAGCCCGTCCCATTCAGACGAAACGCGTCGTTGCCTGGCTGAACAGCTTGTGCGGTTTGTGCCAATTTCCGTGGCCAAGTCAAGATCTCTCTCTACGACAATGATAGTTACAGGTATATAAGAATATCGGCCACGTAAAATAACAATATTTAAATTTAAAAAATATACAGTATCGCATTTTTAATAAACTGCTTAAGTGTATTTTTTTTATTGATGTTGATATTCGTAAATAATCTGATGTGTTTGTGTTCAACTTTTTTACGGGCTCTCTATCTATTCCTGTGTGGACAAGCCTGTCTGAAGAATACACGGTAGACACTATTATATCTCATCGTTGCCTTTGGGACCCAAGGGAAGATAAATACAATAAAAAGTTGAAGAGGAAGGCATACAACGCCACCTTCTTTGATTACTATAAATTGACTAACGCGGAACAACTGGCAGCTAGTTCTCTACACGTGTGACAGGCGCGCTCAGAAAATTACTTTTACTTGCAATTTTTGGTCAATTGATGCAATAAAATGACGGAAAAGGTGCTAGTGTGACCCCACCTTTATGCAGTGTTCTCACCTGATGACAGCTGACGACGGTAACAATAATGTGAGTGCTTCAGTTCTCACCTTTATATATAACGTCATTATCTATGGCTACTAATCTCTCTGATTATATTGTTGAAAACTGATAATTCTCTCGAAATTTAAACACTTCAATGTATCAAAATTGTACATTATTCTGTATATTGTGAACTAGATTTACTGTATATAGTATAGTATTTATTTTCCGTTTCAGTTATGGGTCTGGACTATCTATTTTTACGTTCTAAAAATTGTATTACCAACTCGTATTTCGCTTTTATAGGAATAATCATGCGTTTGGTATTTATATAATAATAAGTACCGCATCTACTACAGTATTGTATAATGAAATATTTACGAAACACTGCATGTAATGTTTACGTGGTCACGGAAACAGTACTGAACAACGTAGTAGATCGGTAAAATTGCAGTTTCACTATTAATTGGTTTTTTGACCAGAAATCTAGGTTTTCCACATGGTATTTGGTGTAATTCATTCGAATTTGTCCTTCATTTCCGTCGGCAATGAGTCATTTTTTAGTTATCGCCACACCCCCAAAATTAGCTCTAACCCAATTGGGAGTGAAACTGCAATAATACCAGTAGGTCTTTTGACATCATTTGCAAAATGATATTTCAAATATTGTCTTCGTTAGAGGAGATGTTTGGTTGTAAAAATGCACATGTACTGTACATGTATATAAGGACGTATTATTACAATATGTAACTTGCTCTCGGGCCATTTGAAGGTCCATTTGTTTGTGACGTCACGCACCACCTACACGAGAGGACATGACTACAGGTTCGTCAAGTTATCATGCAAAACGAATATAGGAAATACTTCTTCACACAGAGGTGTACCAGCCCAAGTTGTGGAAACAAGAACAGTACCGGGCTTCAAAATAGCCTTAGACAAAGGGACCAAGAACAATGGAGGCCACAGGCCACTGACCTTCCCTCGGCACGGCCACATCTGGCGGGTGCCCATTTGGTAAACAAGATAATTAACTACGAGATGTAAGGTACAGTACTTACCTACACAACAAGCACACTACGTACATAAATGGATTCATTAATGGAACAATATTGTATTTACTGTAGAGATAAAATTATATGAAGAGGAATTATTGTAAACATGATCTTTTTTTTTGTGGGGAGGGGGTAAAACTCAAGGAGACTCGCGGCTGAACTACGCAATGAACGAGCGATATTATTATATACCTACATAGCAACAGCCACATGCGACCACATAATGAACACAGCGCAGGTGTAATGATAAGGAGAGTTGATAATCACTATCAGGTGTGATATTTACGTGACTCACCAACTCAGGTGACAATAACACCTGATGGTGGTGTTGTGGAGGTCGGGGAGGGGAGGGAGGGAAGAGATAAAGTGAAGGGAGGGAACAGCAGGGGAGGAAGGGAAGGAAGGAAGAAAGAGCATAGGAAGAATGGAAGGAGGGAACATGAGGAGAGGAAGGGAAGGGAAGGAGGGAGGGGAGGGAACAGGAAAAGATGATGTGAGGGAGGGAACAGGAGAGCGAGGGAAGGAGGTAACAGAAGGAGAGCAAGGGAAGAGAGGAACAAGAGGGGAAGGAAGGAACAGGAGGAGAAGGGAAGGATGGAACAGGAGAAGGGAAAGAGGGAACAGGAGGATAGGAAGGGAAGGAACAGATAGGGAAGAAGAGAGGCAACTAACACCACAACAATAGTTATCATAATAAGTTATCACGTTTATCACACCACTCAGGACCACGTGAGAACGCCAGTCAGAATTATATTTACTTATAATCACACAGACAAGGATGTTTTATTTTACGTAATTGACCTAAATTTGCCACTCCAACTAATAGTTATTATTTTACTTTAATTCATCAAAACCTTCATTTAAAGGAGCCAGCTCATACTTTGTGCTGTTACAGCATTCTCTGGCAGGTTATAATAGTCGTTCACAACTCTTACGCTTAAGAAGTTAGCCCTCACAGATATACTGTCAGTATACTGATAGCTTCTTTAACTTGTGGCTGTAACCTCTAGTGGGTTGACCATCTGCTTAACTCCAGTAATGTACGTTTGACTGAGTAATGCCCTGTGAGGTTCGTCTAAACTTGTATTAAATCGCCCCTTGCCCTTACGTGTAGTAGTACAGTATTAGGCTAATTATTCTCCGCTCACGTGAGCTTTACAATCAGAGCTTAGAGCAGATTCTTATCAATGCAGGTGATTGGCTGGTGGAATGGGGTGCGTTGAGTTAATCTAGCGCTCTTCATTATTTGTTTTATTCCGTAATTTCAAGTACAGTAATATTAACAAGTGAATGTTGATCTAGAAAGATATCCGAAGCCAGGGAAGTAAAAATGAACCTGTGAGACATTGATAACGTAGATACACGTATCTTAAAAGGGAAAAAGAGAAATATAAAAATGACCAGTGGCGTTTGCTGTCATTCCCCCCCCTCCTCCGCATATTTACCAGGCGTGACAAACCGACAACATATGGCAGAATCGTAACCAATGAGGTTTATCCAAGGTACGTTTATTGCTAGTCACTGACATAAGACTGTACCTTCACCTGTCACCAAACAACTCTACTACTAACTTACTTCTTCCTTTTCTACTGGGAAGGGTCCACTGAAGTTCTGGGCTAGGGCTGCGGCTGTGTGGGTCTTGTTGCGTCGGTCACGCTGCTGGTGGTCTGTTACTACAATCCTAAAACAATCAGGCATACTGTGTTAAGCCACATCACCTATTTCTACTCCTACTACTCACTTCCATCCACCTGTTGTCCTTCCACTGAACCTTTATCACCTATGTGACTTGGGATTTATGTATGTATGACTGGTGGAGTTCAGTATTGTCGACACTAGCGAGGTAGTCCTCCACTCCTCTACAGCCAGAGTGAGTGACCCACACTCCTGCTGGAGGGCAACTATTGTGTGGCAGTCTTGACCCTGGCCGAGGCACCTACTTTTAATTTAGTATTCGTGCCAGAGTCCCTCTGGTGGCGCATACCTCACAATGGGATTGTGTGAGTTCAATGAGGATTGGGACATTCAGGTCAATCTGGCAGTGAATACTGTGATCTTGCAGTAACAGCATTGTTTGGGGGTCACCTACAGGTACTCAAACCTTCTAAATTCTATACACTAGGGATAAGCTGCCACTCACTGGGCAGTCAGCCTTGGGTATGGGCACCATCCTACAAGAGGAGGGCAGGACACATGCCTGACCACAAGTTAAAGGCCACTAGGGTAACCAAATGGATGCCAGCGAGAACAACCCAGACATGACGGACAACTGCAAACGGGATACGGGTACCTCAGTCAGATCAGGGTCATATCTACATTTGGTGTGATATATTTCAAGGTATCTACACTGATATGTGGGAGTAATAGTTCCTTCCCGGAGTCTTAATCACCATCTTCAGTTGATGGGGGGATCATCATGTCGTCAACCATAGTTTTGAATGTGAAGGACTCTGCACTGCAGCGCACGATGGAGAGGGGCGGCGGAAAAATAAAGTAATACCCACTACACGAGTAAGACATCCCATTACACAGGCGAAGGTGGACTGGCTTACTAACCTTACCCTTGATGGTTCCACACAGGGGGGGGAAGAGGTTCTAGTGATTAAAACTACAGCTGGAGGGAATGATTCTCATCTGTGGGTTCTTTGTGGAAAAGGGCGATTAAAACTGGGCACAAGATTTCAATGCTGAACAAAGACTTTAAAATATTTGCCATTGGTTTTAAATTGTTATGTAATTTGTCTGATAACACAACAGAGGAAGAATACATGACACCTGCAACACAGCAACAATAAAACAAATACCAATACTAAATTAAGGTTGTCAATGAAGGGAAAAAAGAAAATTTTAAAATTGTATTTTTATTAAAAATAAAAATAATACATATCACATTTTAGAAACAGCGACAAAGAGATACTGTAGACAGATAGAGAGAGAGACAGAGATGGAAGGGAAGGACTGCCACAAGCAGTGTGTGTGTGTGTGTATGTATGTATGTGGGGGGTGGCAGGAGACCTTCTGTAATTACATATACCTTTGTTGACAAATATTTAATGACGTCAGTAAGCAGCAGTTGATGAGACATCTTGATATTTTGGGCGCCAGTTCTATAGACTCTCTGTAAGCTCTCCCAGTTGAGTGTGTGTGTAAGGAAAATGACATTTGAAGGGAACATTAATTTATGGTGGAAAACTACGACATGCAGTATAAACTTAGGGTAACAAGTGTAGTGAAGCCATACATGGTTGAAATAGCTGACTGGGGTATGTACTGGGGTGCCAAGGTAGTGGGAGAGGGTGTAATGGGGCACCAAGGTACTGGGAGAGGATGTCTGAGGATTTACTGAGGTACCAAGGAACTGGGAGAGGGTGTACTGGGGTGCCAGGGTATTGAGAGATGGTGTCTAAGAGTGTACTGGGGCGACACTGGATTGGGAGAGCTAACAAGAGCAGCGTTGAGGCGGCCAGGGTGTAGTGTCGGTGAAGCAGGCAAGGTGCACTATACATAACTCAGTGTACTACGTGTTGCCTACTCCTGTGGTAGTTGTATACACAGTCGAGGATGTAAACATTTTATACACATAGTCAATGACCAATGGAAAAGTGTAAAAAATAATTTATATACAGTCAAGAACCAATGGAGAGAATAGTTGACAGAATTTATACATGGGAGTCAATGACCAATGGAGACAGTTTATGAACAAGTGAAAAAATATTTTATACATGATATATCCCTAATAAAGCAAGTAATACAGGGTGGTTACATGGTGAACAAAACATTATACATAATATTACATATATGAGAGTAATTATTATCATTTGATTAACTAATGAAACAAGTTATGACGTAGTTATGTACGTGGAAGTAAATAAGTTCATCAATTATACATAACGTGACTGTCAGCTGATGACGTGTTTTCATCATGCAACCAAATGTAAGCAAAGTAAGATTTTTGGGGTGGCTCTTGTGATGTGGAGGAAGTCATTTTGTCTTACAAGCGCAAGAGAGAAAATTGAACAAAAGAGATAACGTCATTTGTCAATGAAAACGTAGGACATCACTGAACAAATTTGAGGCGTTATGCATGTTACAGGACCGCTGGACTTCGAAATAAAAGGCAAGTGTCGTGAGTCCTGGCGGTGCGAATCTAGACTCTTTAAGGCGACTGACAGACAAAGGATAAGCGCCATGCGTATTGGCTGAAGCAAGAGGAAACCATAGTAGGTCTTCAAACACCAGCAGACTGTCGTGTTGTGTCGTGAGTGCAGGATGACCAAACAGAGGAGAAGCGTCGTGCGTCGTGGATGGATGCGGGCGGGATCAAGAGGACAATAAAATAAAAACAACAGACCCCAAAACAGGTAAAAAATAAGTTAAATATTTCCCACTACATCTAAGATAAAGGAGAAGGAAGACCCTGCCATGATCTCCCCGTCCACGTCACAACAGCATTAGAGGGCCACTGATGCTTCACGTAATACAAAACCCCCACTAAGTCTGATTAACTTGAGTATTACTGGAGGAGTTCCCCGGTCTCTTAACTGGCTTTATACGGAACACGATTTATTGTACCATGCGTGTTGTTCTTGCTGACTGATTGGTGTATTCTTAATAAGTGCTTGGCATGAGGAACTTCGTAATAATTCATTCATTTTAGTGTGCGTTATCACTGCCATGTGACTCTCCCTTCTCGATAGTGTGAAGAGGTTATTCCTTCACCCTCCTACTTGAGATAAAGATAACCCTTGACCTTCCTACTTGAGTGAGGTAAAGATAATCCTTGACCTTCCTACTTGAGTGAGGTAAAGACATACTCCTTGAACCTCCTACTTGAGTAAAGATAAAACTAAACTCAATATTATTTTTGCTTCTTGGAGTAAATATCTACAGTCTAACTAACCCATTGGAGAAACTATTGAATTGGAGTCTTTTTGGAGATGATGTGAATGAATGACAAAAACAATTACTACGGGTTTTTTTTCATCAGGAAATAGTTATACCATGACCACGTACACAACCATGTCTATTAGACTATTCCATAACACTGATACCATGACATACATACACAATTACCATTATTAGTATTAGACTACTCCATAACATTTACAATTCTAAACTGTTCATGGTATTTTCAAATATACAAAACTATATATTCACGATAAATATGAGTATTTTATATTAATAGCATTTTTTCTAGTGCAGTTCTGTATTTTTTAACTAATCTGTCATGGCATTTCCTTGAGTATTTTTAAAACTAATTATTCATGACATGGTATTTTTGAGTGTTTTTTTTTCACGTGTCCGAGAATTCGAGAATATTTTTTAGTACAATTGATGTGATTTTCTGAGCATTTGAAAATATATTTGAGTAGAGGTTGACGTGGTTTCACAGTCATTCAATAGTAGTAACGTTTTGCAGTAGTACAGTAAGTAGTTGAGGTGGTTTAATTAAAAGCATTCAAAATATATATCTGAGTAGCTGATGGGGTTTTCTGAGTATTCGACAGTGATATATAATAGTTTCAAAATACTGACATAGTGGTTGACATGATTCATAAGTATTTGAGAGTATTATTTTCCAGCTGATATGATTCCTCAAAGAGTTTAAAAGTATCATTCTGCAGTATTACTTGATGTGGTTTATTTCTCAGATTAGTCATATAGAGAATTGAGCATTTATCTATTAGAGAAGCCCAGTTGGTTGGAGTCCTGTGCTGCCACCTGGGGGAAGGCGCGAAAAGCGAAGGCACATTGTACTTTACACACATGGTCGTTGAGGATTGCTTCAGGGCTGTAGGACTGAGCAAGGTGGAAGCAGTTGTCGATCTTCAGGCTCTGACACACCGGCTAGGGGAGAAAGAGAATATTAGATAAGGGAGAGAGAGAGAGAGAAATGCTGTATGAGTGAAGGGATGAGGGTGGAGACAGGTGTACAACAAAAACTACAGTACTACTACTTTTGTTTTAAATGTGACCTCCAGCCTCCCCCAAAAGCCACACCTTACTACTACTATACCATTACTACAACAATTACTAATACAACAATAAATACTACTACTACTGTTACTACTAAAACAACTACCACAACTACTCACTCCTTCCTTAGTGCAGGTACACATAACGCAGGGGGAAATTCTCTCAGCTGCCCCTATGTCAATGTTGGTTTGGCCTACACCACATGACACTCGCTCCTTCCACAGCTCCAGGTTGACCCCAGGCAGGTCCCGACACGCCACACGGGGGTTCCTGGGGAAAGGGAGAGAGGTGGTGTTGGTTAGGGTTTATCTTGCGCATACACGGACAAACAAACAAACACAGACAGACAGACAGACAGACAGACACACACACACACTCACACACACTAAGAACATCATCTTGCCAGTGTTAAACCCCTGAAAAGACCCCTAATAACACAGTAATGTTTTAATAACAGTACAATAAACCCCTTAACAACACTAATAGGAACACACACACACACACACACAAGAACAGTAATGTGCCACATGTGAACCCTGAAAAAAAAATCTCTTTAAGAACACACACAGAAGGTCGGACACTCACAGGAAGGGATCGGGAAGGTCGAAGGCTGAGCGCTGTTCAGACTCCACACTGTCACAGTTATCACAGAGGAGCTTCGCCAACGTAACTTTGCGGATCTCTGTCAACTGCGGGTCAGTGAAGCGCATGAGTGGATCAACATTCTCATACCAGAAGCGATCACACATCCTCAGGTTACGGAACTGGATGCCGAGGATACAGCCGAAGGTGGGACCTACCAGGCCACCATGTAAGGGCGTTTCCACCAGTCCTCCACTGAACAGGTCAATGTCGTCCACGTGGTCGTAGGTGCGCTTCATGCGTTCGATCACAGGGGCGGCGATTTCTCTGTGCAAGTCATTGAAGTTCCTGGCTTTAGTAAGGTTACAGAGAGCGCGGTACTCATTGTAGGGCTGGATACCATGGTCTCTTGATCTCTGAATGTTGAGTGCCGCGAGATCAAGTCCAGAGAAAGGCTTCTTCTTGTCCTCAAAGAGATGGTTGGTGACTTCATCTGTCAGGAACTGGTCAAGGGTCTCCATAGATACGGTGGTGAGGCCACGGATGATCTCGTCTATCATGCCGGGCTGGTAGAGCAAGTCTGGGTTGAAGAAGTGCTCACTAAGCTTGACGGGTGGATCCCTCTTGGCGAAGATGCTGTCCATCCTCTCCAGTGACGGCTTCAGCAGAGAGTGGCCAAATCTGAAGGCGATCCCAACCTCGTTGAGGACGGTGGGGTTACAGTAGGCGTCGTAACCTGTGTGAAGGACCAGTTAGTGTTAAGGTTACAGACACAACTTAATCTAATCACTCATACAATCTCATATTGGAACCCTGAATTGCACACATTTGGTTCCCCTCAAGTAGCTATATAGAATCAATCAAGCACTCACCTTCAAAGTATCCCTCTGGCAGGAGATTCAGTTCGTATAGGTTTACGGCATTCCAGCCGAGGACTCTGGGCAGCCACTCGTTGTAGGTGACGTGTTGGTTGATGGCTGTCACGATCCTACGGCCATTCTGGAAGAGTTGTTCGTCTGACCAGTGACGGTTGAATTGCTTCAGCTCCCTGACCACCCGGTTGTGTTCTCGCATCAGGAGGGTGTGGAGAGCTGCCAGGCCAGGCTGTTCTGATACTCTTGTGTCTCCTGTGAGAGGTGTGAGAGAGGGGTATGAAAAGGGTGGGAGAAGGATGAGAGAGGTGTATGTGAGAGGAATGAGAAATGGGTGAGAGAGATGTGTGTGAAAGAAGCGAGAGGCATGAAAGGGATAAGTGTGAGAAGGGTAAGTGTAACAAGTAATAAAAGAAGTAAAAGAGGCAAAAATAAATAAATCCTGGTCACCAAAACAATAACAATCTTTATAACTCACTCTTCTGAAAACAAAACAAGATAATAGACAGTTAAGTTCATATGTTTATCTTCAGAAAACTATGTCAAATACATACAGTGTACATGACTGTGTTGATTGTGTGTGTGTGTGTGAGAGAGAGAGAGAGACAGGTGTTTGTTTACCTCCGGTGAAGCATCGACCTGAGGGAGCCTGACACTCATGATTTTCTGTATCGGTGGGGAGGAGCGACTTTCCTTTCAGTGGATTGGGGGTTCCCTTCAGCAGTCCATCCTGGGGGAAAAACAGATATGTAGAGAGATGTAAATATTAAGGAAACTGTATTTGTATATATATTTATTTACATACTGTATATGAAAATGTGTGTGTGTGTATATATATATATATATATATATATATATATATATATATATATATATATATATATATATATATATATATATATATATATATATATATATATATATATATATATATATATATATATATAAGTACATAAAAACTCATATACCTGTATACTGTTCATTAACATATAATTCGATTTAATCTTCTTGTCTCTCCTAGAAAAAGAGAGAGAGAGAGAGACTAGATGGGATACCTACCTTGAGGGATCGTAGTTGTCGCTGTTCACACTTGTCAGAGCCGTAGGTGTGGGAAGCATCAATGAAGGCTGTCACCTGGTTCATTTGTTCCCGGTAACCTGTTGGTAGTAATAATGGTGGTGGTGTTAGTAGTGATAGTGATGGTGGTGATAGTGGAAGTGGTAGGATTGGAGGAGGGAAGAAAACCACATATTAATTTGACACCTTGATATAATTTGTAACAGAAGGTAGATATACAGACAGACAGAGAGAGAGAGCCGTGTTCCACCGAATAATATACAAAAACAGATGCTTCAGAAAATCTTTTTATGAGGGCTCCCAATTCATGTGAAATCTCAAACCTGCTGTAAGGAGAATCAAGTACACTTAATTGATACTAACTCTAATCTACTGCATAATCTACTAATCAACTACAGTTCATATTTAAAATAGATTAGTTTTCTACTTCTACTGGTACACATTCACTTGTCTAATCTACCAGTTGGTTCATCTTCTAAATATGCTGGAGTACGACTTCATAAGTATAACTTTAGAAGTACAACCTCAAAAGTACAACGACCGTAGAATTATGACTTAAAACAGGAAGAGGACTTACCTAGAGTGAGTTGGCCGGGCATGGAGCGGGTGAGAGGGATACAGAAGGGCTGGCCTGAAGAGATGTTGACGGGCGGGAAGAAGGGGTCGTTGGGGGGGATAGGGATGGGGAAGCACTCAGGATGGACTGTACGATCGGAGTCACAGCGCCGACAGTCAAGGATGGAGTCTTGGAAACCTGTTGGAGGAGGAGGATGAATGGTCAGAGGTGAGGTGACAGCAAGTTAGGGTAGAGATTTACACATACATACATACATACATACATACATACATACACACACACACACACACACACACACACACACACACACACACACCTATATACATACACACACACATATGGATCCCAAAACACACACACACACACACTCACCTTTGTTGACAGGGGTGAAGATAATATCGTGGTCAATAAATTGGCCCCACTGCATCACCATGAGCGTGTAGCGGACATGAGGGGCAGACACATCGTTGTGCATGTTGGTGGAGATGAGGCGGGGAGACGGCAGCGTCTGTTTGTTGACCGACATACTGCGGGGCTTAGACAACCCTGTGAGTGGGAGAGTTGGTGAGAGAAATGGTGAGAGGTGTTGGTGAGAAATCTTGGTGAGTTAGATGTTGGGTAAGTGTTGGTGAGTGTGTGCGAGGGAGATGTTGAAGACAAATAATGGTGAGATATGTTGGAGAGAAACTGATGAGAGATAATGGAGACTGGTGAGAGGCTGTGGTATGGGTGGTTTCAAGGTCTCATCCAAGTACTGTATAACAAGTATATCATCAGCTGAGTGCCTGGGAGCTTCAACATTATATAAAACAGAATATAAATTATTATGTAAACATCCCAAGCAATGTAAATCATAAACAAACCCTCCCTCCCCGTCACCCCCCATGTTCCTGCCCCCTCACCCCCACCTCCTTCCCCCCCTCACCTCTCAACTCCCCATATGATCCACCTTGAAGGACTCACCATCATCGTAGGCAGGTCTGAGGAGGCGGGTGTTGGCCCTGAAGGACTTGCCGAAGGAAGGGAAGTTCAGGTTGTTGCACCAGCCAGTAGCAGTGCGAAACTTGGAGGTGTGGTCGCAGGGGAGGGTCTGGTCATCACACTGGAACACGTTGGGGATGTCCATGATGTCGCTCACGTCGATGTTGGGCAACACCTCCATCAGGTCCACCACGTTGTTGGGCGAGCCTGACTCGAAGTCCTTGAGTTGTCTGTCAGCATCACGTGTCTTTCGATTATAGGACTCCCTGTGGCGGCAGCGACCGGGACGATCCGAGTTAGTGGATTAAATGTTTGTGGGAAGAGGTAGCTGACTGAGGGTCTCATGCAGACAGAGTAAAGAAGAGGAGGAAGAGGAATGTCAGCCGACTAAGGCTTAGAAAGAGAGAAAAACAATAAATCCTACAGAGGCAGTCTTCATCAATAAAAAAAGATAGCTTTCTAAAAGGCGGTGTTGTCAGGTACAACACTAATATTCTGAAGCAACTTAAAGATGGGAAGTTTGGCACATCAGCATGGAGGGTTATTGTCTGCGTGTTGCTGAGGAACAAACGAGGTGGTGAAGGATCAAGCATCTGGTTAAGGAGATGCCCAGGTGAACATCTGGGCCAAAAGCTGCAATAGATACGTCTTAGTACATGCGGCTGTTTACTCTGCTAGCCACACATTCCTTACACTACTACTGTATGTCCAGGGCGACGTGGAACTACTGGCTTAACACTAGGTCAGTACTGGCGTGCACGGCTCATCCATGACCCAACACCTGTCACAACACACGTCCATGCGGGCATTAAGTGCTGTGATTGGTCCTTGTCCTTCATGACGTCACCCAGTGTGTCCCTACTACAGTACAATTATCTTTTCAGAATATAGTACAGTTCATCTTAATTTACACCTGACTAAATTTAAACAACCTACACCTAACTTAACAGCTGATGTCATAGTGGAGGAGGACCAATCAACACTTGCCATGCCCACAAACATGTGTATTAAGGCTGTATACCCGGGCCACTGGAGCTTCCGCAATCTGGTTAGTCCCGGAGGCAGGTATTATCATGGTGTTAGCAGATGTTAATGTGTAATACAAAGCTCATCACTAGAGCTCCAAATCAATCAGTCAAACATTTGGGTCTCGCTAAGCTTATTAGTAGACTGCTAGTTAGCACTAGTGAGAGCGGGCCAGCAAGCGTGCAATCTGAGGGGCGGCCACCAACCCCCCACAACAACCCACCAGCCACACTGTCAAGTTCCCCAACACTCTGATGCTTTTTTCTTAATACTGCATAATACAATACAAATATCTAATGAAAATAATCTATAAATACAGTAGAAATGATATTCATGAACGGTTGTAATGTATAGATCCAAAACAAGTGCAAATTGACGACAGTAAACAGAATTCTCTATAACATCACTGCACTCTACATCAAAAACCTTCAAGTACGGACAGCTATGGGTCTAAAGCATTAAGACTGCATCCAACATCAAAAAACCCAACACAATGTAACCAAACTCAACGAAAATAAAGAGTGTAAGGTAAGGTTATGTTAAGCAAGGCTGATTCGTGTTGTATGCAGGTCTTAACTGTTTTACGCCTGTAGCCTCCGCCCACTGGACGCTTACATTCGTTTTAGATTTAAAGCATTTTTCCCTCTCATGGTAATAAACTCTATGATAAATTTAGGTCATTATAATAAAAAATTTCCTTTATTTCATGCAGTATTGAGGACAAAACCCTTTAGTACAACATTACCAATTTCTCAACCAATCGGGAACAGCCTCAACATTCGGTGTTCCACGACACTATGTTCTGATTGGCTCACGTCATCGAATATTACATAGTTTTTAACCAGTAAAAACAAAGCTTTACAGTATATACACATCATTATCAGGCATTATAACTGGCTAAAAACTATGCATAAATAGAAAATATATGCCAATTAAAATCAGTATCAGAATAAACAAACTACAGGATTGGCTGAAAACCTGGCACGTGTGAGGAGTTCAACCAATCATGAGAGGTGTACAAGGGAACTTGACTGAAGAATTGGACAAGGAAATGGGGAAATGTAGACAAAGGAATGGACAATGGACATGGGGAGATGGAGGAATGGACACGGGGAGAGATGGGGGAATGGATAGAGAGGAGTAAACAATATCAGGACAGAGATTGAAAAAAAAAACTGGGTGTGCAGTGGGAGGTAAGGCCAGGGGCGGCGGGTAGTGTGTGGGGTTGGGAGGGATCAAGCAACACTGAACTGCATTTATTAATAATATATCATATGCACGTTACTAAGACGTAGGTTGGGATCGTCCGTCGCTGGCAGCTGAACCAGTACACACACAGCTACACACAACTTGAGGGGGAGGGGGCTGGCCGTGTCCATGTGTACACGCCAAAGTATACACACGGACACGACATCAACACAAAGACAGTGGGAAGCAGGAAACACGACACATCATCTACTGAGGTAACAGGACGATCACAGACATATAACTTTGTACAGATTACTTATGTTGTTTTTTATTACTTTTATATTATTATTTTATTACTTATTATAGATCACAAGACGAGGAGAGAGAGAGAGAGATGTAGTGGTGTTTTAAGATCTGTTATGTTGTTCTGTGTATTTTTGTTTATGTGTTCTTCCCTGTGGTGTGTGTTCTTGTTTGTTCTTCTTTGTGTTCTGTGTTGTGTTTGTGTGCGTTAGCATGTTATGTATGTCCTATGTTTGTTCTTCTCTGTATGTGTTGTGTTTGTTTATGTCCTGGAAACTTAAGAGAAATCAAACACAAACAAACACAGGACATAAAACACTAACTATCCCTCTCGTCGTCCAGTGAGGAGAACTGTACAGACATAAACACACACTTTACACATACTACTTAACAACACAAACAGTACATTCAACAACCTTACTTTACAATGTTTAAGTACTACTATAGTGAATTAAAGGTTATGTACATAATGATTCAAGATTAATTTATATCTATACTATATACAAGTGAAGATGGAGGAGTCATGGTAATAAATGCTCTGAGGGCCTGTGTGAGAGGGTAATGTGAAGAAGTGTACCACGACACAAGTCTCAAGTCAGGGTAGGAGGAGAGGGATGACGTCTGTTTCTTGATGTCTAACTTACAAACTCATTATTTTATTTATTTATTAACTTACATACTCAATATCTGTTTTTATACTCACTGAAGACTTTACTTTCTGTGAATTTTAGGAATTATTTTATCATATTCATAAAAAGAAATGGAATTGATAACACTTAAACATGGCCAGAAGAAAGATATCGCAGAGGCCCTATTCAATCAGAGGCTGTGTTCGACCCTTATTAATGTCTGGTGTCAAGTGAACGTTATCTAGCGAAGGTCGAGTCTTTGTGTCATATAGAGGCCATTTCCTGGAAGTTGTTTTTGTACTGTAGTTTAAGTTATTCAGTTTGGTTTATCATGTCTAAAGGTTTGAGTAACATGGATCATATGACACCTGAGAGACTCAATATCTCCCTCTTCTCCACACAGCTGAGAGAGAGTGTGTGTTTATTGTAGTAGTAATAGTAGTAGAAACAGTAGTAGTTACAGTGTGTGTGTGTGTCTTCACTGCAGTAACCGTCAGTATTATTATATTACTAAAAATCACCACATTATGTACACCTCACCTGGATGTTAGATCAAAGTCAATGCACAAGACACCTTTACCTTAAACAAACACAAACAAACAAACATGCTGAAAATGTCAATAAAACCAAGACAATCAAACACTAGGTCTACGACTGCATTTTCTTGTTCACAAACACAAACTAAGAGGATACACAAACACACACTAAGTAAACACCATCAAATCACAACACAAAAACAGACCACTATACGCCGCCGCCAATCTGTCGCCAAATGCCACTTACCCTGCAAAGAAGTTGTTGACGAAACGAGCGGAGGCGAACTGAAGGATAAAGGACGAGTTGGAGATCTTGATGGCCTGGGCTTTGGGTTTGCCGAAGGCGTAGGCAGATCCCACAGGTCCCTTAGGGTCAGCTGTCAGCTCTAGGAGAGAGAAAGGGAGGGAGAGAGAGAGAAAGATGGTTATATAAATGTTAGCCTTGTAGAACCTTATAACATTCCCTACAGCATCTTGGGGGTTCTGGAACTCCTCCTTCATCATCTTAGAGGCTCTAGAGCTCCTCCTTCCCCACTGGGAAATTGTCAGGTGGGCTGGAGAGAAGAGGAAATAGACAAGGGGGGAGGAGGGGGGGGGTAAATAGGTTAGGGCATAGTTAAAGGACAGGAAACATAGAGTCAGCATTAATGGCACAACATCTGATTGGGGTAATGTCACTAGTGGAGTACCCCACAAGGCTCAATACTTGGACCATTATTTATTATATACATTAATGACATAGATGCTGTATAGGCATAGACAGCAACATAAGTAAATTTGCTGACGACACCAAAATAGAGTGTAAAATTAAATATGAAAATGCCAGATGAAATTCAATGTGGAAAAATGTAAAGTACTGTACTTAGCCTAGGAGATGTAAATAGGGAAACCAGATATCAGATGAACAATGCAGATACACTGTATAGAAAAATTCGACTGAGAAAGATTTATGGGTAATGATAAGTAGGAATGTTAAACCAAGACAACAATGTGTATTTGCTTGGAACAAGGCTTAATAAAGCACAGTACTTGGGTTCATATCTACGAGTGTTAGTTATAAGACTAGCAAGGTTATCCTTAAATAAACTATATCTCGCATATGTGAAACCTCGCTTAGATTACACGGTTCAGTTTTGGTGACAGTACTACAGAATGGATATTAATTCCCTAGAAAGCATTCAGAAGAGGATGACAAGGCTAATCCTGGGCATTAAGAACTTTAACTATTGAAACAGAATAAATCATCTGGATTTTCACTCCATCGAGAGATGTAGAGTGAGGGGCCATATGATCGAGGTGTATAAATGGAAGTCAGGGTTAAGCAAAGGTAATATAACAAAGGTACGTACTTAAACTATCTAACCAGGAGTGAACATGTAGCAATGTCTTTAAATTAGACAAATTTAGATAAAGGCGTGAGACAGGAAGCTTCAAATATACAGTAAGTTGGACAGATATACGAGTGATAAAGGTTGGGTGTAAACAGAGCTGCCTAGTATGAGCTGCAGTTTCCGCCATTCTTATGTTATATCCTTTGGAAATGATGGTTTAACCAGACTTAGACAGGTTTTGAGATGGATAAACAGATTTAAGGTACTAAGTATCAGTGTCCGTAAGGTGGTGTAAGCTAGTTTAAACGGGTGCAGGTAGACAACTACATGATGTGGTCAGATTTGGTAAGAATTTGATGGGTGGCAGGTGGGTGGGCAGCAGAGGCGAGGTTGTGGGTGGTGCCAGCAGGTGGTCAAGGCCAGGTCGAAGATAAGGCCAAGTAATATAACAAGGTCAAGTCAAAGCTAAGGTCAGGTTCAAAGTTCCAAGCCAGAGATCAAGTCATGTCAAAAGCTAAATTCAGGTCAGGTCAGAGTTGACGTCAAGTCAAAGCTGAAGCCACAGCCACAAATAAGTTCAAGTTACACCTAAAGTCAGGTCAGGTCAGACAGAAAGCCAAGCTATGAACAGCTGAGGTAAGGTGAGGTCAGCAGAGGTCAGGTGACATGTGAGGGAGAGGTGTCACGTCGTAGGTCATACTCACCCCTCTGGTACAGACTCTGCTCGTGGTCCCTCATGTAGCGCCATGCCCGCATACCCACCACAAAGCAGTCGTGCAGTAGCTCCTCCGCCTCCCGCACCACACGGGCATTGAGGCTCAGATCTCTGCGGTCAACTAAGGCGTGCATCAGTTGAGAGGTCATGTGTCGCTGGACTGGTCTGGTGTAGACGTCTCGTGGCGCCCGTCGCTGACCACCTCTTCCTCCCGCTAAAACACGCCCACGCATGTCCTGTTAGTGCTCAGCCACTCACACACACACACAGTTATATGATGGTGAGGAACACACACACAGTTATATGATAGTGAGGAACACACACACACACACACACACACACACACATTGAGGTATGCACTGTCACACATACAGTCATCCACAAAAGTCCTGTCGGCTCTCCTCCTGAACCACGAACCCCAAGATTCAGACTCACGAATCCGAAGAATTCATGGACAGTAAAAATTTAGTGTTTACTGCTTTGGGTTTGTGGAATAACAGGAGAGGTGAGATGAATTTTGTGGGTGACTGTACAAGGCACACATAGGAGAAAAGGACACACACATACACACAAGGAGCCATACATTGTTATATGAACATAATCACACATGCTCAGTATACACACACTGGAAGACACATATATAGTCACAGATACGAGATCCACACATCTTTCACTCAGCCATACAGGCATACACACATACTGTATGTAAATCAATACACATACTGTAGACATACAGAACCCAGGAAGGGGTGAGGAAGATGTAGAGAGAGGAGGGAGGAAAAGGAAGAGGAAGCATTGTGAAAACACAGTGTCACAATCAACAAGTGGGGGATCAGTCAACAAGTTTAACAGTTGTGTGTCACATCAGTAAAGTCACAAAGAGTTGGTCACCTGTGTCACCACCCATCCTCACCTGCCCTCCTGCTGTCTACCTTGGCCACTGTTGTTGTTTTGGTTAATAGATAAGACCATAAGACCTGTCTATGAACTCATAGGACACAACCTCCTCACCACCAATAGTAAGAATAGTGTCTTCTACATTACAGATCGTCACCACCACAACACTATGGACACACAACAAAAGATTTCTTCCCTCTTAAATAACGACAACAATAAAAATTATATATTTCCACAACAAATCAATACTTGTTGTGATTATCGGCATTAACCAGTGACGATGATGAGTGACTTAAACTATGAAGAGCACAGAGCCAGGTGCCACAGTTGGACCTCCTAGGGCACCTGTTCTCTGTCAGGAATGAATCTAGCCTGAGGTGTTCCCCAGGAGTTGCTGCTACAGGGATGATAGGACTCCAGAGGCATGAGGATGGCCCTACACTACAGTATATTGGTGCTGAATGTCTAAGATGGCCCTATATTGGCATTAAACATTAAGTAACCCTAAGGTGGCCCTCTAGTATCACCAAGACACTTGAAGGTGGCTCCACAGATCACAAGAATGGTACTATTAATTTAAGGATCTTGACCCTAAACAAAAATATTAAGAACAGGAATGACCAAGACTAAGGTTGAGGCCCCCTGGTGGTGATGGTAGTGAAGGAAAACAAAGACAGACTCAGACACTCACGGGCTTCCCACAAGTTCCACTCTGAGTCCCTCATGCTGATGATGTCCCTCTTGGCTCTCTCGATACTCTCCTGCAGCATCTTGTCTGGGATCACGAAGTTAGGGCTGGCAGTCTTCCACTTCTTCAGGTCCACCGATTTGATGTTCTTCCCCTGACACGACATCTGGGCATTCCTGGTCGAGTGGAGGAGGAGGAGGTGGAAGAGGTTAGTGATGGTGGAGGTGGATTAAGGTGAAGATGATATGGTAAGAAAGTGATGATGATGGTAAGAGGAAGGACCTTGAGTTATAACTTGAGGAAGGCGTCCTCATCAAGTATAAATAAACAGGTAAGATTTGACTCTAAATATGAACTTAACTATGAATCAACCTTGAGAAAAAAAATTCAAAAGGATCAGGTTGGAGTTATAGCTTACAGGAAGGAGTCGGCCTCGAGCATGACCTTGGGCTGGATATATTGGAGGTTGTCAGTGTTGTCACAGATGATCCTGGCGAGGCTGACCTTACGGAGCTCATACAGCTGTTCTGTAGACGAGAGACACCTGTTGTAGGAATACCTGTACACTGCCTGACCAACACAGGTTTAGTTCATGTATTATCACGACCTGATGTGAGGTATATCTTTAGGTCGTACTTGAGATGAAAGACTCACTAAGACACAAAACCAGTAAAATAAATCAAACCTAAAAAAAGAAGAAGAAAATATGTGTTGGGGGTCGAAGGGTCGTGTTCGAGGAGGAAGGGGACATACCTTTAGTGAATGAGGAAGGTGGGAGGTCGTTCTCGTACCAGTATCTGTCACCTCGCCTCAGGTAGTGAAACTGGCGTCCTATGAGACAGCCGAAGGTGGGTCCAACTAGAGCTCCTCGGTTGGGTTTTTCGGCCAGGCCTCCAGTGAACAGGTCCATATCATCCACCTCCCTGTGAGAGTGGGAGAGAGTGAGGGAGGGCGGGGATGATGGGGGAAGTGGGGAGAATGGAGGAGTGAGAGTGAGGGAGAGAAAGTGGGGGTGGGGAGAGGGAGGGAAAGTGGATGTGAGAGACATTTAAAAAAAAAATATACACATGAAATTGGACGTAAAGACCTTGTACTTGTACATGGGTATAAAAGACATACACTTGTAGATGGACTAAAAAGACCTACTTGTAGATGGACTTCAGCTTGTTAATGTTGTTCTGGGACATGACGTCACTAAGGTCCTCGAAGCGTGCGGCCTTGGGTAGTCCACAGAAATGCCTCCACTTGTTGTAGCCGTCGATACCGTGGTCACGACCTTGTTGGATGATCTGTGCTGCCAGGTCTAGCCCCACACCTGTAAGTTTGGTCAGGTTAGATTAGGGGGCATGGGTATGTTTGCTACAGGAGGAGAGGTTCGGATCTTCGACTTCACTTAGCATCCCTCCTAGCACCTTCACCTAGCACCCATCCTAGCATATCTTCAACTAGCACCCTTCCTAGTAACCCCACCATTGCCAAGCATCCCTCCTAGCACCTACCGGTAAACCTAGGTCTTCATCTTCACCTAGCACTCTCCCTTACCAGTTTTGGAGTCTTCAAACATCTTGTTGGTCATAGCGTCTGAGATGGCAGGGTCTTCATTCTGAGCATGAGCACTCACCAGCCCCTCCACCACCTGGTCGAAACTGCCACGCTCGTACAGATCAAACGGCGCATAGAACGTCTCAGTGATGGGTCGTTCCTTGATTTTGCGGCCCTGTAGAGGTATAATTTAGGGTTAAATAGCTTTATTCGAGCCTTGTAGAAGTAGACTATAGGGTTAAAGAGCTTCAGTTAGGCACTGTATAAGTAGAATGTAGGGTTTTCTTAGCATCTCCAAATGTACGATCAGTTCCAACAACACTGCCAACTGTACAATGAAAACACCTATACTGTAATAATAATAATAATAATAATAATAATAATAATAATAACATATACTACTCACATCATCATAATAAGCGACACTGTCAGGCATCAAGGAGGCAACAAACTTGAGCGCCACACCTGACACTGAGTTGGCCACCCCGGCGTTGATGTTAATGTCATAGCCTGAGAAGAACCCGGACGTCTGGAGAGACAACCCGTACTTCTCTAAGATACCCTGTGGGAGAGGTCCTCTGTGTTAGCTGGGGGTGGGGGGGGGTGGGTGGGTCTGTGTTTGTCTCTCATCTGTCTAGCAATATATTATCTTTTTAATAATTCAAATAATTTGTCTTTTTAGCAATCTATCTACTGTATATATTAATCTCACCACACTTGTATGTATCCATCCACACTTACACCACTTACCTGTCTGTATACTTATTTATCAATCAACAGAGCCATGCCTTTATCAACCAATCAACTTTCCCCACTCACCTGTCCGAGGATAGAGGGCAGGAACTCTTTGTATGTGATGTGTTGAAGCTTGGCGCCCACAATCCGTCTTGCTTCCTGGAATACTTGTTCGTCTGTCCAGTGGGCATTGAGGTCTGAGAGCGCAGAGGCGATCCGGTTGTGTTCCCTGACGAAGAGCTGGTGCAGGGAGGCTAGACCTATGTGCTCATTCACTCGCACGTCTCCTGACTTGAAGCATCTGACGAGAGAGAGTGTGTGTGAGTGTGTGTAAGTGAGAGCAAGAGTGTGTGTCCAAGTGTGAGAATGTTTGTGTGTGTGTGTGTGTGTGTGTGTGTGTGTGTGTGTGTGTGTGTGTGTGTAAGGGTGAATGGATGGGTTTGTAGGGTGAGAGAATGTGTGTGGGGGGGAGGGGCGAGGAATGAAGTTTTGTGGGGTGAGGGAGACTGTGTGAGAAAGGGAGGGAGAGTGGGTGGGTTTCTGGGGTGAGAGCTGTGGGAGGGAGAGAAAGTAGGAAGGGGGGTGAAGATTCAAGCTCATTAGTGTTAAGGGCAATTTGAACTGGGGCCTTTTAGAATTACATCCCAGTACTAAAGGTATGAGGATCGGGGCCAACTAGAACTAGTGTGACTGGGGCTTATTCGGACTGGGGTCCATTAGAACTAGTGTTAGGACTGTGGCCCATTAGGACTGGGACCCATTAGAACTGAGGTCCTTTAGGACTGGAGCCCATTAAGACTGGGGCCCACTGGACATGCAACTTTCTAACGCAATTTTCCTAGTCAATAAAGGTCATGTGGACGACTCACAACACCTGGAGATTGTGTGTTGAACTGTAACAGTGATGAGAGAGAGAGAGAAAGCCAGCATCAAGACAACAACACCTACTTGTTCCTGGTGGAGGAAGACTTGCAGTCGATCTGGTTCTCATCGTCAATCAGGATCTGTGTACTGCCAGGTCCTCTCTGTACCTTCAGGAGGCCATCTGTGAAGGCCCTCAGGTCATCGCTCTCTTCCTTACTCGACCCGTACAGCACCGAACCATCGATGAATGACGTGACCTGATTGATCTGCTCACGAGGACCTGGCGAAGGTGGAGGTGGTCGTGAGAGGGACATTTTTAACATTAGGTGGTCGTGTGTGTGTGAACTGCGCGGTGTGAGGTGCTTATAGGAGGAAATATATTCCAGGAATCCAGTTGAGCTTATAATAAAATATACATGACAACAGATCTCTTTCACCTATGTGTTTTCTTTACCTGCTGGAAATATAGTTCCTTAAGCCTTAGAAAACATGTAGAACCCCTGCAGGTGGTTTTGACTTGACTGTGGGAATTAGAAACCTTTGTTGTGGTAACTTTCTGAGGTTTAGAACACAGCAGTAGAGCTCTCTGGTGTTCAGAAGGTAACTCCCTAAAATTTAAAGATCCCATTGGGCTCGATAAATCCTTAAAACTATCTGGCAGTGGTTTTTCCTTAAAATTACCTTCAATACATACTAAAGGCCTTTAAAGAACCGGAACACATAAGCATTATACTCCCACAGCCTCTACAGGATAGTCAGGAGGAACCTCACCCAGGTCCTCGGGGGCAGTCCCAGACCTGACGTTACTCTTCCAAGGTAATAGAGTCAGTGCTTGGGTACAGCCGGTTCTTGGGGTAGTGCCATATCTCATGTTACTCACCCAAGGTACAGCCGGTTCTTGGGGCAGTGCCGGACCTCACGTACTCCTGGCACTTCTGACGGAGGGGGCCATACACCGGGTCATCATCGGGGATCCGTATTGGGTAACACTCAGGATGGAAGTCGCTGAAGTTGACGCCGCAGCACCGTAGTCTCTGGCCGATATAACCTGAGGGAGAGTGAGGGAGAGATTGTGAAAGAGACTGTGTGTGAGAGTGTGTGTGAGGGAGATGAGGGAGAGTGTGTGTGAGTGTAACAGGCTGGATGAATAAAGACTTGTAACAGTAGAAAGAAAATATCTCCACTCAATATTTCTAACCTAACCTTATCTAACTTAACCTAACTTATCCTAAAAAAAAAAACCCACAGGTGAGTCAGTATAGCGTTCCTTACCTGCCATTTGAGGGGTATGAGTCAGATCATGAGAGAGGAACTGGCCAAATACAGCAGCTATGGCAGTCATGAACTTGTGGGGTGTGTCGTGGTGGCGGTGGATGGCCAGACTTACGCTACGGGCAGAGGGCAAGAACTCTCCTGAAGAAGCTTGGCGAGGAACAGACACCCCGTCACCGTAGTTAGCAGGAAGGAAACGAAGATACCTGGTGATGGCGTTGCCCCACTTAGGATTCTGGACGTTGTTACAGTAGCCATTGAAGGCGCGGTACTTGCGGGGTTGGCATGGGAAGTCCACCTCAACGGGGCACTGGTCGCCTAAGACAGTGCCTCGGACGTCAGCTGTGGGGAGGCCGTAGGTCACCTGGTCCTTATCGAGCCGGAACCTGTAAGTGAAGGTGAGGTTAGAGGATGTTGTTGTTCTGATGATTTTAAATGCTTTAACTAACAGGTATTTAACCCTTTAAGAACGATGATTTAACCCTTTGAACACGATGGTTTAACCCTTTGAACACGATGGTTTAACCCTTTGAACACGATGGTTTAAACTTTTGAACATGATGGGATGAAGGGAAAGATGAGAAGAGGCAGAGTGGAGGAAGGAAAGGGAGGAAGAGGGAAAGGTGAAGGGAGGGAGAGGTGGAGGGAGGAAGGGGAAGAGGGAGGGACACACATGGGTGAATCAAACCATCTTGCAGAGTCACCACAGTGGTCGGCCAATGGTGGATACATTATGAAAAATGGTAACCTAACCTAATGTAATACAACCTATCCCAATGTAATCTAACACAACATAACCTAACCTAACCCACAGGTGATTGCCCTCATAGCTCTTACACCCACCAACACCGTGCCCTTGCTGGGAGTAGTGTGGGGGTTAAGCCAAGGTGACCTGGGTGATATAGTTTGCCTCACCGAGATACATAGATGGATGGACACACACACACACACACACACACACACACACACACACACCTCCATCAAGAATGAATAAGGGAGTGGTACCTCTCACTGTACTCTTCCAGCTCTCTCTCTCATCTGTCTATATCTGTCTGGGTCTCTCTCACTCTCTCCTTATCTCTCTCTCTCCTCCCCTAGCCAGTCACCAGAGGCCAGGTCATCAGAGATTTATGCCCTGACCTGCTCTGCCCTCAACTGCCCCCAGAACAAGACCAGGTGACTGCAACACACACACACACACACAGTTCGTGAGAGTAATCGGAGCAAGAGTGTGCTAATCAACAAGGTCGGTGATTGGCTGGGTCGAACAAAAACTAGGCAGGTGACTGGTGACTGTTTGAAGGCCAGCAGCCAATCATGTACCAGCTGACTATAGATAGTGTGAAGACAGTGTTATCATGTATGTGCGTGTGTCTGTCTGCTCAACCTAACCTAACCTAACCCAACCCAACCTAACCTAACCTAACCTAACCTAACCTAACCTAACCTAACCTAACCTAACCTAACCTAACCTAACCTAACCCAACCCAACCAACCCAACCCAACCCAACCCAACCCAACCCAACCTAACCTAACCTAACCTAACCTAACCTAACCTAACCTAACCTAACCTAACCCAACCCAACCATTATCACTTACTGGAATATTATTACCAATGAGATAATATAGAGAACATTGTTTAAGCCTGTATACGGTAAATCCCAATAAAGATTTTGACACAAACTTTTTAACCCTTGGAAGACAGAAGGATTAAACATCATCCTCAAAAAGTTAAACCATCATCCTCAAGGGGCTAAATCGTCGTCCTCAAAGGGTTAATTGTACTAAAGGGGTTAAATTGTCATCCTCAATGGGTTAAATCATCATCCTCAAGGGGTTAAATCATCGTCCTCAATGGGTTAAATCATCATCCTCAATGGGTTAAATCATCATCCTCAAGGGGTTAAATCATCGTCCTCAATGGGTTAAATCATCATCCTCAAGGGGTTAAATCATCGTCCTCAATGGGTTAAATCATCATCCTCAATGGGTTAAATCGTCGTCCTCAAAGGGTTAAATCGTCGTCCTCAAAGGGTTAAATCATCGTCCTCAAAGGGTTGCATCATCGTCCTCAAAGGGTTAAAGAGTCTCTATTCATGACCAAGACACACTATCACCACATATTTTAAAACAGACGACATCAACGAAGACTATACAGTGCTACAACACACCCACCAATCTATGCTTCCTTGCAGCTTACACTATGCTAATGAAAAATGTCGTTTGCGATGGGGAAATATTCACTTCGGATGACATGGGTCTATTTACGGTCATAATTGTCGATAATGAGAGGCAGGAAGTCAATGTTACTACTCAAACACAAAGTCCAGGTTTCGTGTTGGCCCTAAGGTCAACACTGTTTGTAAATGAATATGTTACCAATGCACTGGATTGGTTGACTTATGATAAAACACTAAATTAACGTCAGGATTACAATGAGACTCTACCTTAACAAGATACGTTCACTTAGCACCAGTTAGGAGACCAAATTAACACTGAGACTACCTTAACTATAGATACGTTCACTTAGCATAAGTTAGGATATAAAATTAACACTGAGACTCTATCTTAACTAGATATGTTCACTTAACATCAGTTATGAGAGAGAACTAACAAAGAGACTCGACCTTAACTGGGAACATGTATTATATAATTAAGGTAGAGTCTCGGTGCTAATTTTGACGCCATCTTGGGTCATTATATCATGTTTTTACTATTCAATCACATAGTTACCAGGTACATTCTTAACACCTTCCCATAAGACAAGATTTATTCCTTACACGACAACATTTTTAAAAATATGGACCCTGAACTATAAATATCGCCAGACTCTCACTTCAGGGAAAATATTCACTCTACCCTGACCTATAATTATGGCCAGATTATCAAGGACTATCAGGTGTCGATAATTACATAAGTGATCTTGGAATTATATTAAGAAATACGCTGTAGATCTTCGAATTAGGTTGAGTTTATATCACTAGTGCCACTGCCTCACCCCTAGTGCCACTACCTCCCCCCTAGTGTCACCCTCACCCCGAGAGCCACCCCCTCACCCCCAGTGCCACCCCCTCACCCTTAGTGCCACTCCCTCACCCCTACATACCTGTTGTCTACGTACACACAACAGGGAACCAGGCTAAGGCAGTGTAGAAGTGAAGGGAATAAGTACAACAAACTAACGCTAGGGGCGCCTCGTGTCTCCTATAGGCGAGCTGGTTATTACAACTTTCACTGTCGGTACTGTGACCTGAGGGGGGAAGAGGTGGAGGAGGGATTTGAAAGGGGAGGAAGAGGAGGGGAAGGGAAAAAAGGTGGAAGAGGAAGAGAGATTTGGGAAGAAGAAGGAGGATTTTAGAGGGGAGGAGGAGGGAAAGAAGGTGGAAGAGGAAGAGGATAGATGAAAGATAAGAGCAAGAAGATTAAACACAAAAATACTTATTCTGTATATCAATAGAGAAAGAAAAAGTATATAAACAAACTCAGAGACAGACAAACACGACGTAGTAACTTGTCAATAATAAGAGTAATAATAATAATAAAACTAATAACAACAACAATAATAATAATAAATAATAATAATGACAATAATAATAATAACAACAATAATAACTAATAATACACTCACTGCTGGGCCGTGTACTTTGTGGCCTCTTCAGAGATAAGCGCTATCCTGGAGATGTTCTTGGCCACAACCTTAGTCTTGTGTGACGCTGCCATGAACCACGCTGGCGTCCCTGGCACCTGACGAGCACCTGGAGGCACGGAGAGGGGCGTGAGGGGATGTGTATAGGTTAAAGGTTTAAATATCGTATGTTTGTGTGAGTTATCGTACCTATAAAACTGCAAAAAGGTTCTAAAAACAGCAGAAGTAAAGTATCATATGGATTATGTATATTATTATACCTCGATGGATGAATTTTTTTTATATCTATATGAAAAACTACAACTATCTATAATTTAAAGATAAAAATTATACAACCATCCACTCACCACTGTTGTAGATGGCAGGTTCTATGGAGTCGAACCTCTCGTTGACCGCCAGTGTAGCCTGATGCACCAAGTTCCCCATATCCCGGAAGCTGATGTGTGGCATAGTGACGCGAGGACCTGTGGATGCCAGGCTCGAGTGTCATTCCGTGTACGATATAGACCTATAGAAGTCCGTGTGTGTGTGTGTGTTATGAATCAGTGCCATAATGTGTCATATATATTTTCCTTCATACAAAATAATGGTTATGGTTAAGAGAATGTGTTTTTAATAAGTTCTTTCACCCCATCTTTATCAATCTATCTACCTCTCTCTTTCTCTCTCACCTGAAGGTATGGGTTCAATATCAACAGGCAGAGGGAAGCCAGAGGTACCCAGGGGTATCTGCTGGATGGACCTCTCCTGACGGTGAGCTGAGTCCGACAGCTGCGTCTCCTCCAGCAGCTTCAACACGGCCGGATCAGCCACCTCCATGCCCAGGATCACCACACCCACACACACCACCACCCACGCCCATACTGCCGCCGCCCGTGATCTGGAGAGATAGGGAGAGAAAAGATTTGATTAGTACCGGCGTTTGTGTGATGGTGATGATGATGATGATGATGACGATGATGATGATGATGATGGTGATGATTAGAAGAATTAGAATCATCATTTATTACAACAATAATAAAAACAACAACAACAATAATAACAATAATACATACCCAGTAAAATTATCACACAGGTTTACAATTTGATAAGCACGCACAGTATATAAACCACAGGGATATATATATATATATATATATATATATATATATATATATATATATATATATATATATATATATATAGTTCAGTGTAAATATAAACAACGCAGGAGGTACTGGTATATTGGTGTGTGTGTAATCCGTGGAAGTGTACAGTTTCCTTTGTGGCGAGATGAACAACACAAATCAAGTTCTATTTGTCACCGATGTCAACAGAGCCTTGAAGCATAGACGGATTTATGACTTCCGGATCCTCACGAAAGGCAACATAAAACAGCTGATCCTCGTAAAAAGCGTGCCAAGGATGGAACGTCGCGTCGGGGGAGAGAGAGAGAGGGTAGGGGGGTACACAGATGTATAGAGATATATGAAAAGACAAAATGAGTCAGATAGATGCATGGCTAGAGAGAGAGAGCCAGAAAACAACCTCCGAATGGCAAAGTTACACAAGATAGTCCCTTCACAAAAAAGTAAAACACACCGCAGCAGATGACCGCCCCTGTGAACAACCATAAACTGAGAGAGCGAGAGAGTTAATCGGGTCATTCAATTTGGTGGTTGCGGACCGTCTAGCCTCCGAACCTTCACCCTCCCCGACCTATACACTCTAGGGAAAAAAAAAGATAAATATTTTTTTCTTCTCAGCTGAAGTGAAATTACACTGGTTTAAGTTTCATCATCTGAATCACTCAAGACAATTTTTAAGTTAGTTGGTTGACTCGTATAAATAACGACACACACAAACAATACACAAACACACATACAGATACACACACATAATAATTATAATAATAATAATGGATGCCCCTCGAAATCGAGGATGGCCGGTCCTAGAGCCTAAGCGTGAATCTGTTTAAGGTGAAGCTGTCGTCAACACAACAACCACACCCCAAGACCTAAGTTAACGAGTTGCATGGCCCAGTGTCAGGTAACAGTCCGAGAATACCAGACAATTCGCCAACTGGACTGGATTACCCCGGAACACGATCCGCAAATCGATTAACATTCAGGTTCCCAATTACTGCTGGGTAGACAAGAGACAAATGGCGTAAAGAAACTTGCCCATAGTTTCACCCTGCTCGGTGATCGAATCTGGATCCACTCCCTTGCGAGGCGAGCATGCTGACCATTACACCACAGACATATAGTATTGATTCAGTATCATCTACCTATAACTATTTATTTACTTATCAGCGTGGGTGAGTATATTGTAAAACTTATTAAGTAGGTAAGGAGGGCGACCAGGTATAGTAAATCTGCCTCACTTGTTTATTGTATCTACGGTGTACCTAAAGGCTTGTGTTCCGATTGGCTGGCTCACCAGGCTGTATCATCTTAAACACACGCTCTAGAAGCGAGGTGGCGATCTGATTGGTCGGAAGCATACCTTCCAGTGAAGCAATGCCCCATAATCCATCTTAGTTGCTAGGGTGCCAAGTTTCAAGATAGTGATAATAAATAAGACAATTTAAATATTCTCCGGTAAAAATTACTTCAGCTAACTAGCATAATGAAGACATCATATGCACTTAATTTGATAATAACGATAAAAACGAGTCGGGCTTATGTAATATTAACAATACAAACTTAATTTAAGGAATATGTGGCACCAGCGCGACCGTTACCAATGTCTGCTACTTTCTCCCTCGGATGAAATTCCTCGCGGGTAAAAAAAAAAATCCTAACCCTCACCAGCCACTAAGAGTGAAATTCCTCACATTAAGACAATAGAGATCTCTGCCTTACGTGTACCTACTGAACGGGATGATTAAAAGTATTATGAGTTTAAATTTAAAGAATTTCATGAGTGTGGTGAGGTTTGCAGAGACGTGAACGGGCGGCCATGACGGGGTATTGACATATGTACACTGGACGCTTTATTTTCTGTTGTTAATTTTACTACTGCAGTTCTATTCGGTTCCTCACAACCTTATATCAACAACTCCTTTATAGACTGAAATGAACAGACACTTCAACAATTAAAAACATTAATAATATAAATACTGTATAGAGTAATTTGACATTTTCTTTGTATATTTAAGGGCAGACTTATGTAATATATCGTGACACCACATAAGTATAATTAACACATATAAGAAGCCTGTTTTAACCAGTTATACCAAGGTTAAAGGAAGTCATTACCTCAGTAAATAAGGTAACCAATTTCGTGTTTAAGATAATGATATAAAAATCAGAGTGAAAACACCCACTGTAAAATTAGGTATAAAATGTTATAACCTGATCCGAGGATTAAATTTTAAACTCGCCCTATTATGATTCCACTTACACACTTAATAAGCACAGACACGCACTTAGCAAAGCCTGTTTATAAGTAGAGTAGTAATCATAATGCATGTCACCGTAACTTAGCCCTCGATGCTGCACACAGGAGGAACGAGAACAAGATAAGGGCATACGGGGAGAGAATTCAAAACGTTGATCAAGGCAGCTTCACTCCTCTAGTGTTCACAACCTCTGGTGGGATGGGACCAATTGCAAGATGCTTCTACGCCAGACTCGCGGAGGTGCTATGCGAACAGAAGCAGCAGCCCAGATGTTATGTTACAGCCTGGATGAGATGTCGACTGTCTTTCTCCTGAGGTCGGCTTTGCTCTGCCTCAGGGGAACGAGAGCATCGGCCCCAAAGCCGACAACTGCTGCAGATATTGACTATGAGGCAACAGTCACTGAATGCCGCATAGATCTGCGGCTCAACTAACTCAACACAGCTATGGTAGCTACTTATGTATTAGGATATTTAATTTTAAGGTAATAAAATGGCGGCGAAGATGTGGCTATAGTGGTAGGCTGGAGGCCACGTTTAAATCATAAGTTAGTAGCCTCACCGATCTATTTACTATCAACGTAACTGTTTAACAATGATAATAATCGACAAATATGGTGTGTGAGTGTTTTTGTAAGTACACTACCAAATACGGGAAAAGCTTTATAAACGTATCTTAAGAGGACCTTGGTGTGCTACTTACAATAATGTACTTATCTGAACACGTTCGTCAAAGTAATGTAACTAGAATTCAAGCTAAGCTAACTTAACCTAACCCAAACTGGAGCATATGTTACATTAATCCTTAGACTGACACACGTCGGAGCAATGAGACTTTCACTGTTTTAATAATGCTCAGCTATGACAAGCATCGTATAGCGAGCGAAGTGAGTATTAATGCCCTGTTAGTATATATATATAATTGTATATATATATAATTGTATATATCAAATTTAACCTACTTTTTGTACACACCAACTTAAGGAAAGGTTATTTACATGCACTAGTGTATACAGATTATAGTTGTGGTGTGAATGTTAATGTATATAGAACATTTGGTCTAATATTGTAAAACAAATAATGTCTCGGTGAAAACAGGTTAATGGAATGTGTCACAGTTGGTGAGATTCTTGAGGCTACGCGCTGTTATTTAAGTACGGTTTAATTCATCTTGTTATAATACGTTATATATTATAGTTATATCATGAATTACAGTATATTAGACATTCGGTTAGTTATAATTTTAGATTATTTTAAGTTTGTTATTTATCATTGGTGGAGAGAGAGAGAGAGAGAGGGAGCGTGTTTCGTAATCAGCTGATGGGTGTTAAAATGGCTGGAAAGATACAACAGGTGGTGGGAGTAATCAGTTCACGGATATAAACACAAGGAGAGGAGAAATCCCACGTGTGATGAGCGATCAGCTGTTACATGTAAGTATTGCAAGTAAGAGACAACAAGTAGGGTCGGTAACCCGCTGATTTTGTAAACACAGAGAGTGAGGAACTATGGGATGAGTAGTATTAAGTTGTTGACTGTAAACACGGGAAGGTCACCACGTGTAGCTTGACCGATCAGCTGATAAGTGTAAACGTACAGAGAATGACGTCACTTGTTCATCAGCTGACAGAAAGATTTGTCTGATTTTAGTTCATGTCTCTCTCTCCACACAAACAGTGAAACACATACACACAAACACACGTACAAAAGAGAGAGAGAGATTTTTTTTAGATTGTCCCCGAGGGGGCTAGCTTATTGGGCACCCCCTTACATCCTGTGCAAGGTGAGGCGAAGAAGCGTTTACAGCGCCCATCTGGGAAGCATGCGTAGTTCATGCTTGCCTTTATGCCTCCTGCATTAAGGGCGTAAAAGCCTGAAGGGTCATGGGTTGTGTCAGCAAGTTACATAAAGAGACAGAATGGTGAGTGTGTGTGGGGGGATTCCCGGTAAAATTTATCTGTTTATGGCAAAGCGTGGCAAATCCCTAATAATGAGAGATGTGTGACCTCCCTCCAACCAACAAGGTAAACAAACAATCCCTCACACACATTAGCACTGGCAGTGATTGGTCAACTGTAATTGGATAGTTAGTGGTGAGTGACGCCAACACTAATGTTTTACCCCTGCAATAGCTGATGAAGGGGTAGTGGGTGAGGGGGGGGGGGAGTGGGATGAAAGAGGGAGACTTACCTTTCGTCTCAGTTAATACATCACATCATTAAACTCGAACAATAAATTAATTCGCCAAATTATTTCTTTCATCCTGTACAATTAATCTAAATATTTAACTGTCTATAATTATTACCCGTGTAGTGTTATTCACTTTTAATCTATTTCTTAACATATTTAATTTGTTTGTTTTCAGTTCGTATTACCTATTTAATCTATATAAATACAGTACCTATTAACTTAAATAACTATCTATTAACCCCCTTATATAATTATTCACCAACGTATATAATTATCCTATTATTTATTGGCCAAGAAATTAATACG